AATCTTAGTAGAAATCAAGATTATAACCACATTCCATGTGCAAATAAATGAATTATGACAAAAGTCATGTGATACGAATGATTCAATGAATAGCCTTAACAAATTTAAATAGTTATTTCTTGTTATATAAACATTAATTAATTTTGGTTATTGGGCTTACCAAGTTTAGAAAGCTGTTCTCAAATGTCTCTTTCAGCTTGCCAGCTGGCCCCATAAATGGCTTATATTAATCCGTTATGCGAAACATTCACAATGCAAAATACTTGTTATATAAACAAGCTCATGATTAGCCTCTATCTGTGTATGTGAGTGGGTGTGTGTGACTTTGCAATTCCGTGCACGGTATTTATAAATCAATAACGATTGAAAACTGCAAATGATCATTCATAAATTTCAATGTTAATGATCTGTGTGCAGATATCGCAAATGAAATGGAAGCTGAAACTGAATTTGTTTCTATAATTAATTGTACTTTTATGCGAATTATTATAAGTGAAAAAACAGAAGCCAGAATATGAAAACAGTAGCACAAAACGAATTCGATTCTCGACACTGTTCAATACATTGAGATTCTTAGGTTGATATTGATAAGCAGGCCACAAACACTATTGATAAAGCAGCCAGGGCTGATATTAGCCTCAACTGTGAACTGGATTAAGTGCTTACCTCAAAACGCTTCCTGTGTGGCAACGATGACATTGAACTTCTTCACGTACGCTACGTGCAAACAAAAGTAGCTCGAACATTAAAAAAAATATGGGTAATTGTGTCTCAGATTTTTGTTGTTGTTGTTATTGTCGTCGGCTTAATTATTATGCTGACAATTATTGTTGTTAGCTAACAACAAATTGCTGTGAGTTCTAGAAGCAACAGCCCAGGCCCAGCCGAAGGTTCCACAGCTCATTAGAATTTCTGAAACACTTTAGCTAAAAACACTAAATGCGAGTCGTCCCCATCGGCATTGTTATAGTCATAAATATAGATATATACTCGTAGCTTATGCTCCATTTGTAGGCACCTTGCATAACGAATTATGGAGGGTATTTAAAACATCTTTAAAACATACATTTTTCAACTTGATAATGATGTCTACGTCAAATAGCTAAATTGTTTTACTGTATTATAGGTCAATTCAAAAATAGAGCAAGCTCAATGTATTTATTTATAACCCGGATTCTAAGCGATTGAAACATTTGGCAACCAAAAATATATTTCTGAGAAAGTTATTGGACTTAATATTCTGGAAACGGTCTTTCTGGAGAACTATGAAATTTCTTAGGTCTTTTTTAATTCTAAATAGCAGTGGGCGGTCCATGCATGTGTGCTCAAAGTGTTAAAAGATGCGACCATTGATCGAACTTTTCGAAGCTGTCATAAATTACTGATTGACAGCAATGCGGAACCAGAGATTACGGATTACGGCTACCCATAACGCGAATATGCCGCCAAAGCAACGAGAGTACGGCGCCCGGAGCAACTACGCCCCATTGCCGCACGCTCGGTTCGCAATTCTCGCCTTTTTGCATTCCCATTTGATGACAGCAAAATGCCGTCAACAATTAAGGCTAATTCGACAATACGCATTTGATCTTCGCTTTGCCTGCTGCCGAAACGTTAAAAATAAACAACATTCAAACAATCATTAATCACATATCTGGCTGAAGGAGCTGAGCTAAAGTGTGGATTGGTGAGGGATGAGAAGGGAAGGAAAGTGTAGGGAACGGAACGGAACGGAACCTGTCAACAGCCAAACAAATTATTTGTCACGTCGCAAGCAAAACAAAACAATTAACTAATGAACACCGATCCAAGTTCCGAACCACAAGCGACACGAAACTGAGAACACTTTGTGCTTTGAGCCGCGCCAAAAAATCCAAAAGTCACTTAACCCGGAAGTGCGTTTTGTCTGCAGTTACACAAACAGATCCAATTCCATTAGTTAATGGAGCATAAACTACAACAAGATTTATGTTTTATTCTGAGTGCTGAGCACTAACAATAACATTTTGACCAGTTAGGAATTAGCCGGTAGTAGTATACCCTTGGAGAAGTATTCGTAAATTGTTTAGCTACTATTTTTTTTTGTTAAATATAATCTTTTTATATAAATGTATTTTGTTAATTGCCTTTTTTAGTTGCACAGTAACAAATCGAGTTTCCAACTGCCTAAACACTGTAGATTCGAAATAAAAACAAAGTCTAATATTTTTTGTTATATTTTTCTCAAACATATTTTTCAATGATTATTTTTTTTGTCCACTTATCTTTCCATTTGTGGCTGCATTTGCCAAATGATGCTGGCAAGTGTTTTTTTTTTTCTTTTCTTTGAAATATTGTCATAAAGCTGCTGTTATTATTGCTGCTTGTTGTAGTTGTTATACGCTTTGTTGCTAATGATATTGTCAGTGGCATCGACACCGCATCATGTATTTGTTTATTATTAATTCTGGTTCCTCAAACTTTGCCTATTGTTATTGATGCTTCAAGTTGAAAAGTTGAGAATTGTACGCCATGCCTTTTGTGTCAGATTCGTTTTGTCTTTAATGGTCAGCCCTAGATAATTAAATAACATTACTGCGTTATTTTGATACACATATTTGTGGTTTGTGGCTTCCGCATTCTGTTTTCCACAAGATTAACTATTAAATCAGATCACTGGAACGATTCTGTTGAATTTGTTTTTGTGAAGATATAAAACAAAACTAAATTTTCCATAAACTTATCTAACCGCAATGAGTAGAATATTTAAATTGCTTTTCTAATTGACTGCTTCATTACAAGTTTAAGGCTCTTCAATTAAATTTAATGCACAGATTTATTAGCGAAATACACATTCAATTTCATTAACTTTATGTGTTCATCAGGTAATCGTCTTGTGCCTCCTCTTTGCCTTCTTTCTCAACGTGCCATCGGTGTATTTTTAGAAATTCAATATACAGTCAGACTTGGGACTACGAGAAGTACAATGCTATTTTTAAAAATAATAATGTACCACACCGAATTAAGGCTTCTATTTATAAATGTAAGATATAATGGCTAACAATTAGCTTTAACTATAACTTTAAGTTGGATCCACACTTCCGCAATTGTGGGAAGTCACAAAATAAGGTTTATGTACTCAAATTGTGGTTAGCTCTTTAGAAGTTAAATTAGTGATACAAAACTTGACTCCGTTTAGAACTCGAGTCGAAATCGCAAATATAAAACATTTAAAATGGATATTAAATGGCTTGGGTCAAGTATGCACACGATTTTGTTGCTTATGCTTAACGACAAGCCATTAATTCTGTAAGTGCTTAAGTATATTAATTACACTTATTATGCAAACGCAGCTTTTAATGCCACTGGGCTGCTTAACAATTAATTAAATCGCGTATCGATTCGATGTGACATATGCATTTGCCTTGTGGAAATTAAGCGAGACCATACATTATATTTATTTTTAATTTGTCAACTCTTGTTTGTTCTTTTGGTTCTTTCGTTATAATTGACTGCTCAAGTGTAAGCATTCTAAATATTTTCCTGTGGCGTTTCGCCCTGTCAAGTTTACAGCTATTGTGAAGTTGACAAGTTGGTCAATGGGTTATTATGATAATGAACTCAATTACTGCATACAAAGCTCTAAGCCATAGCCGGATGACCGCCAGCTTGCTGTTGTAATTTGCTTGGCCTTGGGCCTTGGGCCAAGCTTTGGCAGATTTCACAGAGCTAGAGAGAAACTCCAAATCGGTTTCTATATTTCGGTTTCTATTCGAGTACTATGACTATATTCTGCTTTACACAATGCCAACCGCAACACAAAGCCCAAGAAGAAGACGGCTAAAGCCAACCACAGCTGGCCAGGGCTGGAGGTCAGTCGGCTTTGTTAGGGTTAAGTTTAGTTAATTCAAGTTTACATAAGGCCCATTCAGGCAATAGGCGCCAGTAGCGAGCACACAAATTTCTGATAACAATAATAATTATTGCCCCAGCTGTTAATTAAGTGTGCCGTGTTTGGGATCCTCCTTTCCCACTAGCGCAGCATCTGTTAATTTTTAATGCACACAGTTACTTACTCGAGTGCATACATTAATTTCTAAGATGAACTTTAAAGTTACCCGATTGAGTTCAAGTACAAACTCCATGTTTGAAGGTAAATTAACTGCTGAAAATTCTTAAAAGCAATTATACTGATAAGTACACAAAATTATGTTTTTATTTTTTTCAATGGTCAGTTGTTAAAGCTAATAAAATTAGACAAGTCTTCAATTCGCTACTTATGTATAAAGAGAGAAAAAAACAACAACTACTCGAATGTAGTTCCTAATTTATTTAATTGAATTTCATTCGAACATTTTTGTCTCTCTCTGTGAGCTTATGCCATGTTTGAGGCAGGTCATATTGCTACTGTAAAGTGGTCGCGCTTGCTTATTTATTGATTTCGCATGCCGAGAAATCAGTCAACAAAATTGTTGCTGGGTATTAGAAACGAGCATGACACAATGTGTAACCTTCATTAAAATCAAAACATTTTTTTTTTTTTTGCGAACTTGAGCCATTTGGACGTAATTGCTGTCAAGCGGAATCGGAATCGAAATTCCATGCCAAAAATGCAAATGGAAACAGAGGAACTACCTCGAAAACGTCCATCGACTCTCGCCCCGATGGCCAAATAAGGCGACAATTAGGCTTAATGAGTAGTCAAGCAATTAACTGAGAGATAAGCATTTCTGCATTTATTGGCGCGTTTCTATTATGGCTTTTTAATTGAAATTGTAACAAAGTACGACTGCCCGAGGCGCTGTATACTAGAATGTTTTAGCCATGCGATAATTTCAAGTTGTCGCTGATCCGGGGCAGGTTATTGGGATTAGCCGACAGTTTGTTGTCCGTTTCTTGTTGGAGCAGTTTTTAAATAAGCCAAACAGCTGATTTCCCAGCCTTACGATATTTGTTAAGCAAACAGTGCGTCTATCGATTACGCAGCCCTGGTTAACATACCAATAGCAATTACTTATCGCATTTCGATTCGTAGTGTGACCAGACGAAGTCAGCAAATAGATTTCTATGAGAACGTGCTCCGATTTTAAAAACTACAATTAATTAAAAAATGGCTACAAAGACTAAAAAAGAGATAATCCAGTGTGATTATTGCAATATCGAAAAAGATGCCAATTACATTTACACGGCAAGAAAACAATTTGCCGGCTGCAAGATCATTGATATTCTACAAATCGTCACACACCGCACCGTAAGTACAGCATATAGTCAACACAATTTGTGCCCAATGTGTTTCATGTGACAATCTCAATTTCAGATTCCGGCAACGTTGCCCATCAAGTTGTGCAGCTTGTGCGCCTCAACGTTGCATGCGGCAACTGGCGCCATAACAAAAGCTGAGGAAATTGTCTCCCAACTGCTCGCACTCACTGCCAAAAAGCCGAACACCGAAACTAACCTTGAGGCAGCAGCAACTGAAAAAGTGGCAGACACAAACATTGTGGCGCCATCTATTGTTCAAAAAATTGCTAAAAAGCAAACAGATAAAGTAAATAAATCCTTGGCTAATGGACCTCAAACTGCTGTCAAGAAAGACGAGAAAGCAAAGGTGCCAGAGACAGTGACACCTTTAGCAGCTCTACCTTCTCCCAATAAACTGTCCCAATTTGAAAGTCTACAGAATGCAGTGAAGCTAAGGCCCGCCAAGGAAGTGCCAATCCAAACGAAGACCTTCATTCAGTTGTTTGGCAACAGTGCAATAGAGAGAGATGAGGAGGAGGACGAGGATGATGATGACGACAATAAGGATGATGACGACGATAAGGATGATGAAAATGATGCAGTTATGCAGAAGCCAGGCATTAGGAATATAGCAATTAATTTCGAATGCAAACTTTGCGACTTCACCTGCGTCTACCCGAATGCCATGAAACAGCATATGCGTGAAATGCACGGACAGAAGCGTCCGCGAATCTACAACTGCTTCAATTGTGTCAAAAAGTTCGGTCGCCTAATTTCGTTAAAACAACATCTCTTGGAGCACAATGTGACCGAAGAGAAGGTTGAAGAAAAGAAACCCCGTAAAGACCTGGCAGTGGTAACTGCTTTGAAGCCAAAGCCTTTAGCTAATGTTATCAACGATGAAGGTAGCTTTGAGCCCGTTAAAGATCTGGCAGTGGTAACTGCTCTAAAACCAAAGCCTTCAGTAAATTTTGTGAACGATGAATGTAGCTTTAAAATTGCGCACACCAACTCATCCACGCCAAAACCTGCATCGGAGAAGAAACAGAAATATACATGCGATAAATGCCACAAGGAATTTGAAACGGTTAAAAGCGTTGCAGAACACATGAGCAGCATTCATAATATTTCGAAAGTCTTCAAGTGTGTGGTGTGTGATGCTGAATTTGCGCACAAGTCCACCGTGCATCGTCATTTCAAAAAGAAGCACGGCCCTGATGCGGTGGCCGCAAACGGCCTGACAGCCCAGAAAATTACTATGCGACGCAAGACAATGGATACAACTGAAAATACTCCAACAAAAATATCAAAGAGGCGCAAAACTGTTGCAGTTGAGGCGATATCACAGGTACAAGAGGACAAGGAGGAGACCCTCGCGGAATCTTTGGAGGAAATCTTCGACGAGCTCACTGAGCACCTCATAGAAGAGCCCATTCAGATTAAGGCACCCTCGCCGAGCAAATCCAATCCAAAAGAGGACAGTCAGCTTGTGCAGTCCTTAATTTTTCCCAAAGACAAAGCTACGCCCAAGAAGCAAAAGACGCCCAAAGGCGAACTTAAAGAATTATTTGCGGCCGAGTCGCCAAGCAAGCGTAAATCAATTGAAAAAGGCAAGGAAATCATCGCCACGCCCACGAAGCTACAAAACAAAGATCACAAACAACACACACCAAGCAAAAAGCAGAAATGCAAGTTGGATACAGATGTGCTGGACTCTCCGCAGTCTACAGCAACTATCACAAATGGGCAGCCAAAGAAGCAGCGCAAACGCAACGCCTCCGATAAGCAGCAGGAGAACTTATCCCAGGAGGACACAGCTGATGAGGAGCAGCTACCTAGCACACCAGCAAACCAATTAAAGGCTGAGAAATCAGAAATTGATACCATTGACTTAATGGACGAAATCAATAGTAATGTGAAGCCGCACAAGCGTGTCAAACTGGACTCGTTCAACGTGTCCGTCTCCGGGTCTGAGCTCAGCTGCAGCATGTGCAGCAAGGTGGTCGTTTCCCGTAAGCGTCTCGATTCGCACATGCACAAACGGCATGCAGCACAGCTCAACTGCCCTAAGTGCAAGACGACCCACACCACCAGCGATGAATACGTTAGCCACTTTGCCAACTGCAATTCGAGCGACGGATTGGCGTGCGGCATTCACAAATGCGACAAAGTTTTTCTCTCAGCCAATTATCTGAGTGCGCACTTGAAAAAAAAACACAAAGCTAATTAATATAAATTGTCAAGGTGCAACTATATTTAAGACATTGAATTATCTTAGCTTTTTTACCTTTGCAATGGAGGTATAATTTCTTTTTTCTTGTTAAATGTTAAGCATATCAAAAAGATATACTTAGATTAGTTAATAATACAGCTCCCATTGGAACTATTAAATGAAAACAAGAGTTCGTGGTTGAACACATTTTAAGTTTAAGTTTAGTTCAAATTTTTACTGTACTCCTAAGCGTTTTGATTTGAGTTGTCAACTTTATATTTTTCTATTATGCATATTTTCTACGAAACTGAGTTCTAAAATACAAAACCATTTTGTATTTTTGAAGAAGAATTTTAATAATATTCATCACAATATTTAGTGCATAAGATATGTGGCCATCGGACAAAAATTGTTCAACTTTTAACATTTTTAATCATCTCATGTATTTTACAGATATAATAACAAAGCTGACAAACAGGTTGAAAATAATTGTATCCTTTGTAAACAGTACAAATAACATTTGCATTTGAAAAACATACACATTATTTTTTTTACTTGTAATTCATTTAATAACATAAACAATATGCACATTGTAATGTACAAGAAAAAAAAACAACATTTTGAGAGCAGTTCGTCTAGCAGAGTACGTTGTGTCATGAATTATCCTAGAGACGATGCAATCTGATTTATAAGTAGAATTAAGATGTTACCCAAAATAAATTTTTTTACGCAGAACCCGCGCGTAACGAAAACATAATTTAAATGAAGAACACAATTTTCTAGTTACACTTTTCTACTTAATGCGTACATCTAAATTGGTTTTTAATGATGATGATAGTGCCGATTGTTGGAACTGTTGGTGCTGATGATGTTTCAGGCTCCCACCTTGCTGTGAATCTCCGCTTGAGCCAGCTTCATCACATCGAGTGCACCACGCTTGATGAGCTGCTCGGCCAGTGTTTGGCCCAGCAGATTGGCCTTAACGTAGATGTCCCGGCTGTGGCAGGCGTGCTGATAGAGACCGCAAAACAGATTGTCCACATCCTCGATAAGTACGGGCAGCTTGAGCTGCTGTGGCTGCGGTTGCTCCTCATCGGCATAGTCGAACATTTGCACCGTCTTCTGCAGAAAGGGGCATTTGGCATGACCCGTCTTCTCCGGTGGCACCTCCAGTCCACTGCCCTTATGCATCGCCGCAAATGGACACTTGGAGGACGACGTCGGCGCATTGTCGGGCTCATCGCCGGAGGCGGGTGGCGGCGTCGGTAGCGTTGCTGTGTGAGTGATCGGACACTTGCCCGCACTGGAATACGAAATCTTCGCCTCATTGCTAACGAACGGGCACTCGCCCATAACGTCCTGGCCGACATCCATCAGTAGCGGGCAGTGAGCTGGGACATTTGCATTATCGCCACCACCACCAGCATCGCCGCCAGCGCCCTGAGCATTATTATTGTCATGACCAATGACGGGGCATTTGCGAGCCAAATCAATGTGCCGCTCGAGCAGCTCCTCCATGCTGTAGCCTGTAACGGCGGCATCTTCGCAAATGACAGGCGGACTGCCCTGCAGCCGTGGACTACTCGAATTAGAATCGGAGCCCGAACTCGAACCCGAGCCAGTGCCATTGGCATTGCCGGGTGAACTGTTGCCATTCCTGGCGCGCTTCATTGCAGGCGGTGAATCGCAGCTGTTGCTGTTATCTTGATTGCCATTCGTCAGCTGCTGCTCCAGCTGCTTTGGCTGCTCATTTGCGGCACGCTTGCGTCTCTGCACATCCACATCGCAATCATTGAGGGCACAATCTAAATGTTCGCGTATTTCAATAGCACCATCCAGACTCCAAACCGCGCCTGTGAGCGACAAGCCAACTTCTTGCTGCTGCTGCTGCAGCAACTGCTCCCGGTTGATGCTGCTTGGTTCGCCATTCAGATTGCTCCACACTGCAACTGGCGCCGAACAGCCGCCGCCGAGCGTCTTCAAGAAGCTGCGCTCGGCCAGAATGCGACACGTGGTATTCAGGCACATCAGCTTCTGCAGCATGCCCAGCACCTGGTTATCGTTGGCACGACACTCCACGGCGAGTGCGCCCTGTCCAACAGCATAGAGCAGATCGGTGGGTTCTAGCACCTGGCTGATGCGCGCCATCCAGCCCATGCGCACCAGACCAGCCTGAGCGAGTATAATGCCTGCAAACTTGGAGTCCTTGGCATCCAGTTTGGCCAGACGTGTATTCAAATTCCCACGTATGTCGCACACAATCAAATCGGGATACTGCCGACGAATTTGTGCTGTGCGTCGCAGCGAGGAGGTGCCTAATGAAAACGTTGACATTTAGTTTGATATTGGAGCAGCCCAACAGGTGGATAACTTACCAATAACACTGCCCTTAGGCAGGTTGGCTATTGTGTGACCCTTTAGATTCTCGCGCAGCACCAGCGCATCCCGGGCATCCTCACGCTCCAGTACCGCACCGACAGCCATGCCCGTGGGCAGCGCCGTTGGCAAATCCTTGAGCGAGTGGACGACAAAATCAACGCCACCATTGCGCAAAGCATCCTCCAGATCTCGGGTAAATAGACTCTTCTCACCAATCTTGGGCAGTGAAACGTTCAGCACTCGATCCCCAAAGGTTGACATGGTATCTGCAAACAAATTAATATGCAAATCAATATTTTATCTACCGCAGAGTTTCTCATTCCATTCGATTACGTTTCTTATATCATCAGTGATAAACATAAAAAGGAAAAAAAACGCGACTCTGCAATCAAGCAAAAAACACGAACGCCAATTAAGTTTTTTTTTTCCATATTCCACAAAATGTTGGAGAAGTTTTGTTTGTTTTATAGTTATCAGCACGCAATGGAACTGGTTAAGCTTATCAGTCACTTAATTTGCCTACCGCTTGCCATAGTTTAAATACAGTCAGAATATATACTTTATAGTGCGTAGGGGACTGGACTATCTAAATGGAATGTTGCGTGTTGCACAAGGCCAACAGTGGCTTCAATTGATTAACAACTGTGCTGCTTTATAAATAGATGCAAGAGTGGCCTTGCTTAGAAGTAGTCGTTTTAATTCAATTATGCTGGTGGCAAGTAAGAGAAATTTATTACGTGGAAGAGCGAGAATTTCCTATTTCCTATCGCATTAAGTCTTTATCTCGTGCATGTCAAAAGAACTGAACCCAAAAACATTTATTATCATAACACAAGAGATAAGTGAAAAGTTATTTCGTTAGTTGTTAATATTGTGTTGGCAGCACGTTGATCAAGCAATTATACCATTAACTAAAGATAGTGTGTGCAAAAGCAATCGTTAAATGTATATGCGAAATCAGAAGACAACAATACCAACCGACATTGACATTGAGCAAAAACTTGGCAAAACTCACGCGAAAGTGCCGCAAAAAATAGAAGCAATAAAATTTAACAGAAACCTCTATTTATATTTAGTTAGTTATTTAACTATGGGGGCAGGTTTGACCGTAATAAAATATGCAATCTAAATATATTTTACGCAATGTTTGTTGAATTGATAAGACAATTTTAGCTAGACTAAAACTCGTTTCTGATAACGTTGACAAAATCATGAGTCACGATGAAATACAAAACAAATTTCAAAAATAACAGTAAGTCATGCTTGCAAGAATTTTTGCAAATCGTGTTGTTCAAACGAAAAAAATAAATAAATCATTAAATGTGTACACAGAAAATATGATGTGGAAACTTTCACTTACGTATCTCGAACTTCTGCTTGGGATAAAGTTTCTGCAATCGTCCAATGACATGTTTAGTTTGAATGAGCGCCAACTGCAACATAAAAAATAAGAAGGAGAAAGAGGTGAGGAAAGAGAGAGAGAGAGAGAGCGACAATAAGCAAACGGCCTAAGTGCCTATAAAAATATGTAAATGAACTCTAAGTGGACAAATAGACACAGTGCGATAGAGAGAGAGAGCGAGAGAGAGTGAGTGATTAACAGCGGTCGCCGCTTCCAATTAGATGTACAGCCACTCTTGTTGTTGTTGTTTTTACTGCCATTTGGCATTTCGAATTTCGAATTTTAATAAATGAAACGAGGCAATTAACACGGTAATTTGAAATACTGAAGCAATTGTGGCCTTGATAAAGCCAGACCAGGCCAAGCCAATCCGCCCCAAGCACGACTTGAGTGGCGGCTTACAAAAAACAATTTGGGCAAAGTAATACAATAAAAAACAACAATTCATAAGCCAGCCGCTGCGGTAGAGAGAGACGGAGAGAGGCAGTGGGGTGACCAGTGACAGATGGACTGCAGTCGCTTAATGTGAGCAACAAATACACAGACAGTCAGACAGACAGCAGAGTGCGTGAGAGCATTGTGCGGAGATCTGAGCTGCGATTGTATAACACTAACCAAAGGAAAAAAAAAAGAAAAAAAAAACCAAAAGCAACGCGACCAGCAGGCGAGCAACAAGTCCGCAAGTCTTGCATAAATGTGAGCATGAGCATGTGAGAGAGGGAGAGTGAGGGGAAGTGCGAGAGAGACACACAGCACGGATTTGACGTACGACGGAATGTGATTGAAATTCAAATGAAAGTTTAATTCGAATGCACATATTCAAGCACTTGCATATATACATATGTATATAGAATTTGTATATAACTTACCTCGCTTTTGCGTGAACCAACCCGAATAACCTTATCCTTTTCCTGTGTAGCCATCTTAAGTTTTTGTCAATATTGCACAATTGTTGCTAAGTAGGCTTGTGTGTGTATGTTGTTAGTAGTGAAAGTGTATGTTCGAGGACAGACAGGCAGCCAGTAGCAGTTTTTTTGGGGTCACAACTTTTGCGTAGTATCGCCGAGGAACGATGAATGAAAACTTAAATTCACTGGCTACTAGGTGCACATATTCGTATTATTGTCACGTTGACTTTGTACTAAACGGTTAAAGATCCAATAAATAAACGATTTAATTGGATTTTTACTGGGCGATACTACGTCCGAGCAAAGTGCAATGCAGCAAGTGAGTGGATAGACTGATTGGCCATGCGACTAGCAGCCACAGCAATCGATAGTTGTTGGGTAAGAGCTAGAGATGAGATGATCTATCGATGATTAAATACTAGACAGCCGATGGATGCTGCAACAACTCTAGACACAACAGCTGATGTTCAACGATAAAAATTAATAGCGTAGTTATTGTCATGTTTTTGGTATGTCAATAACAATTTTATGGGCCAACTTGTTAATAAATTCCACAATTTACTGCTACAGTTTATGAGCCGTCCCGTGGGGACGCCGAGCAATAGCATACGAGCCGTCCGCGATCGCCTGGGCGACGACTTCGTGGACAAACTGGACGAACTGCATCTAAATGCACTGCGCACTGGCCTGGTATCCACGGGGGATCTGCAGGAGGCGTATCGAAAGGCCCGTGACATTAACAGCAATCAGAACCGGCTAAATTTATTGTGGCTGCTGGGCATCATATTCTTTATCATGATTGCCACGCCCGTTTTCTACGAGACCATCTCGTTTCTGCTGGGCGTCCGCTGCTTTCTACCCAACAACCATCTGGTCTGGGAGGCAACGCGGCCCATTAGTGACTGTGAATTCTGCAAGGGCGTTTCGGCACCCCTAATCTTGCACAATCTGACGCGCGAAGAGTTTGCTCGATTTGCATATTCCTCGCGACCAATCATTGTGAAGAAGGGTGTGGCGCACTGGCCAGCGCAGCGATATCTCAACTACTCCTTTATCAAGCAGCTATATGACAGCGTGCCCGACTCTATGGAGACAGTGTGCCAGTTTCAGCATTTCAATTCAAATCTCAAGTCTTTGCGGGATGTCTTCAGTATGCCGCCGAGTCGCGCCAATCTGAGCGAGGGTGTGCCCTGGTTTGTCGGCTGGAGCGTCTGCCAGTCCCAGATTCTGGCGGAGCTTCGCAAGCTATATCCACGACCTCACTTTCTGCCCGTTGATGCAGAAATGCCAAATACCGACTTCATACTGATGGGTTACGAGCAGGGCGCCGTTATGCATGTAAATAATTTTTTAACACTAACGTTAAACTCAGAATGTTTAAGCGTTTCAATCTCAACTCACAGCTGGATTACATTCCGCGTCTTATGTGGCAGGCGCAGCTGCAGGGCAACAAAAGCTGGATTCTCTCGCCGGCGCCGGAGTGCGATCATCAGTGTCAGTCGTTCTTCTTTTATGTGGAACCAGGTGATGCCGTTTTGGTGGATACGCGCATCTGGTACCATGCCAACACCATGCCCAGGGGTCAATTCTCGCTCTCAGTGCAATCCGAGTACGGCTAATCCGTATGCTTCCTCCAAAAAAAAAAAAAAACAAAGTCTGATAGTTAGATTTAAGTGGGCAGTCAATAAATTTCAATATTCCCTCCATACTTGGCTATATGCATCGATAAACGATAATCGATAGGGCGAATTTTGTTATCCATTATCACTTCCCACCATTCCTGCAAAAATACGAAGATACCTTTTTAAAGTTCCCGCTTTCGATAACTACACAGAGTTGCTCAATTAATCGAAGCGCGCTTTCTTTGTTTATAAAGTGAATAGAGGAAATGACATTTGAAAGCAATCAAACAAGGACAGAAATGGACGCTAACTACAGCGGATTTAACTTTAGTGAATTTTCTGCAAAATGCGATAAATACTTTGCTGCAAAGCCCTTAAACTTAAGGGAGCTGTGTGTCACTAAGTCAGTTATGAAGCCGGCGGGCTTCTTAAAGAATCTCGAGGAGCATATGATGCCAAAGGTGACAATGACCTCGCCAAAAAGAGAACTGGGCACCGTGGAGGAGTACGCAGGGCTGTTCAAAGCATTCGACACATATCCCACTAATCTGCAGCCTACGACAAAAAAGCGCGAACTGCAACGCACCAACTCTATAATCCTTAAAGGAAATGATGCTACTCAGGATCAATCCGCGATGAGTAATTCAAGTGTGTCTTTGGCATCAATGGTTACCCGCCTGGGAGAGCAGCCAAGCATTACGAAAATATTCAGCGACTTTAAAAAGTTCCAGCAGAAGCTGCGCCAGCTACAGGATGAGGCGACACCATTGGCCAACACGCAATTGATGTATTTGAGCAAGATCGCCCAGCTGGAGACCTTCGCCCAGCAGCTGGAAAAACTGATGCCCAATGAGCGTGAGGCACCCGACGCTTTTACAGCTGACGAGGAGAACACGCTGACCACTATTGTTGAGAACATGAAACAATTGAACTTCTTGCGCGGACACAGTCTGCCGCAAGTGGATCCCGCAGCGCCACGCATCGAAGCTCTGGTTGATGTGCTCAATTATACGTTGATGCAAATAACTTGCTACAACAATGCTTAACGCCCTATGTTCTATTATCAATATTTAGTTTATTAAAAATGTGTATTTATTCGCTATATAACTCGTCCTCCTCATCTGTGTTCAACTGTTGCTCAACCTCGACGCTCTCCTTTAGCTGGGCAATTATATCGCAAAGTCCGACCAGTTTGCGCACACTGCTTCCCAGAAACTCGATTCGCTGGCGACTCGACAGGCAGCTATTTAGTACACTTTGTCCATCTGCATTGCTATCCCCGCCTGCCGTTTGTTTGATGAGTTGCTGGAATTGCAGCAATATTTTCACCACTGATTGTTGACAATTTGCGCTCACATTGTACACATTTTGTGCAGTCGTCGCTGTTGTTGTCAAGGGTAACTGCAGATTTGTATTTTGCGATTCGATGTGCAATAGAGTGCTATTGGATTTCTCCATAATTTCGCCGATCTTGTCAATTTGCCTTTGCATTGTCTGGCGTGCTGCGGCTACAGTTGAAGTGGAGAATAAGCTGAGCTCATTGTTATTTAATTAAATAATTACCGAGGCCCGCCAATAACTCGTCAATTGTTTCCGACATTTTGAATTCGTTGTGCGTCTGCATGTCGCACAGCTGTCAAAGTTATCGTTATCGCTCGATATGCGCGAGTTTTAGGAAACAATTATCGGACTGAACTTTTTCGATTCAAATTTGGTTTAACGTTCTGATTTATTCAAGTTTTGTATATTGTTCAAATCAAATTTGACTCTGTTCATTTAAAATTAGTGTAATCTTTTAATGGTTATGCATTACATTTATTCATACACATCCTCCTTGTCGGCGACGTATTTAATGATGTCGGCAGGTTTCAGAAGCTTCTCAGCATCGGAGTCTGGAATCTCAAAGCCGAACTCATCCTCCATGGCCATGATGACCTCAACGTGATCCAGTGAATCCAAGCCCAGATCATTGATGAAGTGCGAGTTCACGTTAAGCTGTAACAGAAATATAATTGATAATAAATAGTAAATATACTTTTATAATCAGAGTGGTTTTGATCGTTTCTTTTTGAGGAGGAGCACAAATAGAGAAAAATTCAACTGGCAAAGGCAATTGTGGCAATTTAAACAAACAAGCCTAGGGCTTGCCATGAGCGTGGTCATTACCTTGCTGGGATCGATCTTATCGTACAGCTTCAACACAAGCAAGACGCGCTCGTTGATCAGTTTCAGCGACAATGGCGGTTTCGCCGAGTAACTGCGCACCGATTGCGTTTGCCAGCGACATCTGCTCTCCTGGGAATATGTGCGCCCCAAAAAGAAAAGAACAAAACAAGCCAAGTTAGTTGATTCTCGTTACAATGAGATTACCTTATCGGCAGTCACTTTGTCGTAGGCCGAAACCACTTTCAAAACACGATGCTCAATTTCTTCCATGGTATTCCTTACCGAATAGTTGCGCACTGTGAAGAACTTCTGAAACATTGTTAGAAATGATATGATTGATGAACTTATTGAACCTTTGCCGCATTTGCCGGCGCCTATCTTTGTGCGATCTCGAGTGTATTTTTTCTTTTCATAACAATCATGTTTTAGCAAAAAACATACAAGTGACGCAATCCATTGATCAAAAATGTTGCACTTAAGAAAAACTCTGCAGCTTACATATAAATGCAATCACTCCGCCGTAGAGTTCGTCACAATGAGGTTAGGGTGCAATAAATAACTATTTTAAAACGCAGACACCTTTGCAAATATATAAACGGTATAGTTGTAGGCTTACTTGGGTGAGCTGAGCGCCAATCGCAGGCACCGCAATCCGATGGAGCATCCTCGACTGCGTCTGAACAGCGACACTGGCGATGCGAACTGTGGTCAGGGCAGCCGCAAATCGACCGCAGCTACGTGCGACTTGTGTGAACGACATCTTTTGTGTTACCTATCCAAGCAAATGAAATAGTGTGAGTTCCGAGTGTAGATCTTTGCACTGTACACGCGTTTTAAGCAAATATTTACACCGAATTTCTGTCGAAACGGGAGCTCAGATTATGTAAAAGTTCTGGAGGAGCAAGGCAGCACAGATGTTGAGTAAGCATCGATACAAATCACAGCGATAAGTATCGATGACTTTCGTGTAGCCGTCTCGCGCTGAATGCTTATTGACATGGTTGCCTAACAAAATGTATAAATTTTACTAATGCGGGAAAAATTCGTTTTCTAAACAAAAAAAATGATTGTTTTTCAATAAAATTTGAACAAAAATGTGCAATCACATGGAATTGTAAATGCAATAAGTCGTAATCGACAAGTTGGCAGGACCGGTTAAAAATTAAAAGATAACACCAACTGCCAGTCCCAAGGTTGTTGTTGACAAACTATTGTTCGGTGTTGCCACAATTTTTAGCTTACAAGTGGGCAGCACTGATATATTTAAATATCCCAGTAGCGTATGAATGAATTACAAGAACAAGAGAAAAGTAATCAAGTTTGAGAACATGTTAAAGTGGCTTTCGCTAATAAAAACAAGAATCAATTAAATACTGTAATGCAAAGGGAACATAGATAAGATAGACCAACCACATCGGCGGTTACGTAATCAAGCAACAATAATCATAAAAGCGCAATTAGATGAATTCAATTATCAGCTCTCATAGATATATTTACGATTTATATAAACAATAGGCATCCGTTTAATTGTGAACATAATAAGTACATATAAAATCAATATTACACGCCTCGTCGTTGCAAGTAACAAAATACAAAAATACAGCATAAATTACACGAATAGTATAACAAAACAATTGTCGTTTGATTTAAAGCCATTTGGTAGATATCTTTTATTAAATTCCTTATTGACCAGCAATCTGCAACGAATGAAGAATTGTTAGATTATTTATAAATTGTGATTCGATCATTCTCAACTTACAACAACAAGATGGCCGCTCTTATCACGCACAACGCCGGGCTCAGCGCCAGTTTGGAGCTCAATGACGCCACCCTTGCCCTTGACCACATTGTGTTCCAATCTGCAGAACCAAATAATATAGTTTATTAGAGTATTTTCATTAAATGTTAAAGTTGCACTTACGAAGCTCTGTCCACAATGGATACTATTTGGGCGGTGCCCACTGTATCAATGATGTAGGTGCTGAACTCGATGATGTGTGGAATGATTAAGATCAAATCGCCCTTATCCTTTTTCAGCTCGAGCGGTATACGTATGACCATCAGGTCATCGTTGTGGTTCGTCAGCGTAAAGTCAATCTTATCGAGCGGCAGGCGATGCTTTTGCTTGTAGCTCTTACCATCCAGCACATAGATGGCCTTGTTGCTCAGCAGAATGAAGCGTTCGCGGGACTTGTAGCCGTGTCTATCGAATTTGGTGCAGGCAGATTGATATTTGAGTTGCTCGCTGCCAAAGGTGCTGGCCACAAAATCATTGACACGCTGTATATGCTCTTGGGGTATACGATCGTGCTGGAACCAATTGGACACACTGCTCTCATAGTTGTTCTTCTTGTTCTTGAACACCTTCTCGGCGAGAACCTTCAACTCAAACTGTCGCTTACGTTGCGGCGTCAATTTCAGACGATAGATCCTGGCCAAATGCAAACGGTGCAAACGATGCAGATAGTTGGAGGCCTCCTGGCAGTGGCCCGGCGCTGGGGGCCAACTTTTATCGAGCACCTTGGTGGGCAGCTCCTTGGCCAGTCGCAGCAGCCACATACGCTTGGCATTGGCAATGAAATCATCATTGTAGCCATTGGGCGGATCGTTGCGCGTTATGAATCCCTTGATGAAGGCACGGATTTTAACAGCCGCTTCGCGACGCTGCTGGGCCGCCTGCTGGGCCAAACGGCGGCGGCAATAGCTTTGCAGGATAATGACCTGAGCGCGCAGCTTCAGGTATTTGCGTCGCTGCATCAGACCCTTCCAGTGCGCCTGAATGATCGAAGCAATATCGTGCTTCTTGGCCTGGTACGCATCCTCAGTGTCGAAAAGGGTGCGCGGATAGCGGATGAACAACTTCGTTTCGCCCATCTTGAACTGTTCGTTGGTGTAACCCAAATCCTTGACGAGCAGTTGAACACCGGCCTTGGCACCGCCATTACCCTTATAGTTCGGCCAGGTGGACTTGCTCAGGCACTTGTAGCGCTCCAGGAAGAGCTCATAGCTGCGACGATAGGCAAAACCGGCGCGACGCACACGCAGATTCTCCATTAAGCCAAGATACTTGACCTGATGCAGCACCAGGTCGTCGTTGAAGATGCCCGGCGATTGCAGATCGTTGGGCTTGATGCAGCGTATATAACTGGGCTCCTTGCACATCAGTATGTCCATCAGATTGTTCAGCGAGGTTCTGAACTGGGTGATGGCAGTTTCGGGTCGCTTCTTGCTGCGCAATTCCTGTTCGGGGAAACAGGAGCGAACAATATGGTTGCCGGACTTGCTCAACGTTTCCTTGAGATCGCGGAATAGCAAATCGTTGTTCTTATCGAGGAACCCATTGACGGAGTAGGTCACCTCGCCGGCATAGTGCACCAGACGGAACTCATCGCGTCCCATTACCTTTTGCACCTGAATGGGTGCCTTCTCGTGGCACACATAATGATCATGCTTCTCCAGCTTTTGGGTTAGCTTCTCGAGGAAGGTGCGATCGGTGGGCTCACCGGGACGCAGGCACTCCTCATCCAATATGGATATAATGCCCTTATGCTTCTCCTCAATCAGATTGCAAATGACCTTATTATCAAAATACTCCACTGGAATCCACTCGATGCCCTCGCGTCTATATTCATCCTGCTCCGACTTCAGTGTCAACTCAATAAACAACTGCTGCAGTTTCTCATTGCAGAAATTGATGCAGAACTGCTCAAAGTTGTTCGTTTTGAAGATCTCAAAGCCATAGATATCCAAGATGCCCATCACATTGTTCCTGGCACCGCGCGTATCTTTTGCCTGCAGTGAGATATTCAAACGCTGTACCAGCCACGAGAACATGCGATCGTAAACAGCCTTCGCCAGAGCATCTCTGGCATACACAGCCAGTTCATGATTAAGTGGCGACGTGACCACATCTCCCCGAGCATCGATGGTGCGATGTGTTAGAGCTGCGCCCAATTCGCTAGCATTAACGCCCAGCAGTCGTGAGATGGTGACAACCAGATCACGACTATTCACCTGAGCATTGCCCTCCACCTCGTCGAAGCTCACGTTGCCCAAATGCAATATGCTGCCAATAATGGCAAAGATCTCACGCTGCTCCTCCACCGTGAAATCGATGACGCCCAATGCCTGCTGCACCTGTCTAAAGTTTTCCGCATCATTGATGCTGCTTACGGTGCCCTTGAGCTGAGAGAAGGGTAAACAGTTAGATATGGACATAACCAAAAATGTTTCGAGGCTAACTTACCCCATCGGTCAGATAGTTATAACTATCCAGAGTACGCTCCAAGTGCAGTTCCTGCAACAGGGTTGCATCGGCACCAGCCAGCAGCTGATAGAAGATGTGGAAATTACGTTCGCCAGCCATCTGAGCCACCACACGTGACTTTTCCAGCAGATAGTTGAGAATGTTGCCACCAATTGGCACACCCTTGTAATCGAACTGGATGTCCATGTACTTGCCGAAGCGCGAGGAGTTATCATTGCGATTCGTTTTGGCATTGCCAAAGGCCTCCAGCACCGGATTACTCTTCAACAGCTTATCCTTGACGCCCTCAACAGTCGACTGATGGCCGGAACAGGCGGCAATATATTGCAGCACCTTCTTGGAGGCCTCCGTCTTGCCAGAGCCACTCTCACCCGAAATGAGTACGCACTGGCCACGATTCTCCTCGATCAGCGAGCGAAATGCATTATCCGTCACAGCAAAACTAAAGACGATTCAACTATCAATTAGAATTTGGAGTTTCTAAAAGGAATTCCGACTTACACATGGGGTGGCATCTCGTAGAAGTGCTTGTTTCTGTACGCATTGATGTGGGCATCCGAGTAGATGGACAGCTGCTTGTAGGGATTCACCGAGATCAGCACTTGACCGATGTACGTCTGCAAATGAAAAGTAAAGTATTTAGTGACAATGAGAAACTTTAATATTTTGGCCAATTCAATAACTAAGCAAAGCTTACACAGAGCCAGCAACCGGTCTAAAAATTGCGTACAATATTTTAGAGGAGTGGATGCGTGTGATAAGATAGAAATAGAGACGGGGACAGTTACAAAATAGACAGAAAAGTTACAGAGTGAAAGGCAGCTAATTAGAGATATAGATTGAGAGCGAAAGATTCTTACATAGATGAGGTTCTCCTGAAAGCGCTTCTTCAGATTATCAATGAAGGCGACCTCGCTCTCGTAGTTCTCGAGCAGCACAAAGTCCTGTACTCCCGCCCGATCGCGTTCGTGCAAACCCGTCTCCATGTTGGGTAAACTCGTGTTACTAGAAGAAACATAAAAGTTATGTATAATTTTAAGTTTCTTACAAAGCATTAGCGTGATTCCACTTGAGCCACTAAAGCTGAGTAGCTGGGCCAATAGTTGCTGGGTACGATTGGAAAAGCCCAAGACACAAAAACAAACATACAATCAAAGAAATAGATTTGTCCAATTGATAAGATTTTTATGTACAAAGTTTATGGCACTCAACTAATAAGGAAATTGAGCTAAAGAAAATCAATCGATAGATAAGTAACTTTCCAAATTTGCATCTGCAATGTGGTTTAATTAGTAAGTTAATGTATATTATAAATATTGCTTAATATTTAATGAAAACATGCCCAAAATAGAACTAAAAGTTGGCTAGGTGCAATTCGCATTCCGGCTTATCACGACCATATTTCATATCTTTGGTTTATTGTGGACAAAAACTCTCGAATGGGTTATTGTTCTTGTATTTGCTGACAGCGATGATATGAGCTTGGCAAATCCAAATGTGTCGATTACGCAATGAGTTTATTATTTTTACTTTTTCATAACCGGAATATATATATATACATTGAGGATATCCTGGAGCGGAAATTGCTGAAGAACTCACTGGAATTGATAGCATGATGTAAACACTTTAAACTGACAAACTGAAACTCAAGTGGCTCCTCTTTTAATCAGATAACCAAACAAGACATTGGAGACCCAATGAATACCCTAGATAAGTCCAATTCGGTGGCTCGTTTGATGTATATATACCTGGACATGTTTGCAGCGTTAACTTATTAGTCCAATAATCCTTGTAAGATTCGAGGCACTTTACACTGTGATTTAGTTTTTGGGTATTGACTATTGTCAGTTTTCGCACGTATTCCGCACGTCAACGACTGCGTTGGAAAACTAACTGGATCTGGAGTTGGCAATAACGTTTTAACCATCAATATTCAATTGCTATAGTTGTCGCTGTCGTTGTTATCAACAACGATTTAGCTACACGGAGAGCACTCCCCAAAGAGCCAAAGAATGGCCCAATCAACAGCCGATTAGATTGTGCGTTTACGTATCTGCAGGCATTCACACAGAATGTATATATATATATATACAAATATATACATATATATATAAATAGATATACAATTAAAACCGATCCGTTGAGAGCAAACTACTCAAGACGTTTGAAACGCTGGCAGATGATTCAGTACGAAGGCAATCGAGTATCTTCAACACACCGAAACTAATCAAATAGGTATAAAGATATCAACTTTTTGCATTCACTTGCGAATCTTTACAAAAAACAACCGAAACTTATGGCGTTCTGTGACTTTTTGAAATATGATCACGATTCGAGTGCTTCAAGCATACTGTGGAATTCAAAGAACTGTGCCAGTTCTGAGTCAGAAGTTTTGTTTGCATTCTAAGCGCCTTAGGCTGACCAGCAGCTTCATTCGGTCGGTCCACTTAGCGCTACGCTTATCAGTGAACCAAATAATAAGTCATTCACTGCATACATGTGTTTCTTCAATGCAACTTATACTATAGAATCGTAAAAAGGTGAAGGGGTATTTACACTTGTTCGATTTATTATCAGCTGTGAACAAACAAACGGAATGTTTAACTTATTACACAATGCGCTTTAGATATGATGTGCCATTTTACAATTACAAGTCGATATCACATCCACCCATGCCCATACACAACAGAGGGCGATTGTAAACTCAATTTCTCACATATTTTTGTTTAATGCACGTAATTTGAATAGCGATATTTCAATTACTCATGAGCTCCCTAACTTGGACTGGAGCAGCAGAGTAAAGCAGTGGTTTATCTGGCAGGACCGGAAATTGTGCATACCAAAGTAATGCAGACAAATGTAGAAAATGTACAAAAATATATATATATTGTATTTTTCGTCATTTATACAATGTGCACAGATAAATGTTATACAAGTTATTTAAATAATTATTATAAAATTTTCGAATTTCTGCAAATACATGTGTAAATAACGAAAATGGAATTTTCGAGTAGGAAAACATTTGCCATATTTATTTGTTAGAAATGCAAACTATTTGTAAATAAATATTTACTGTTATTGTTATATAGTTGCAAGCTATCAAACTATGTATATATATAGACTCTATTTATCAACAACATTCAAACACACAACACATGCCTGATAAATATTTATTGACATTGAGAAAGCTTCAAATTTCAGCTGTTTGTAGAACTCGTCACATTAAATTGTTGATGCCTGAAGTTATGCCGCACTTTTTTCGCCAAATTCGAAGATGTCATTGACACTTGATACAGGTAATGTGTATGCGTGTGTTGTTGTTGTTGTTGTTGCTTTGATTGTATGTTGCTTTTTGACTAGGGAACACCTTTATGTGCTTTGAGCAGCTTAATTCGTGGGCTCCTTTCAAGAATGCTGAACTGAACGGGTTTGCTTAGTGCGAGAACCAAATTAAGCTCATATTGACCTCTGGGCGGCATTTAAATATGTACAGGGGGTCAATTACATAAAAAGTGGATAACCAGCTTAAGAAACCAGTCAGTCAGTCAGTCTAGTCAGTCTAGTCGTTTAGCTGAAAGGGTCACAATACGATACACACGAAAATGACGAGATTGGTGGGGAGCTATTGAACTCCCTTCATTCTTAACATAATAATGCTCTGGGCAATCGATCGATCGCTGAACAAAGATTACTCGAATGCATTCAGAGTTCGAAAATAGACAAGAATATTTAACATTTATATGCAAATTGGAGACTATTATGTTGTTCTTAGTGTCACATCTACAACAGAGAACTAAAAATAGTTGTCTAGCCAAGAGGTGAAAGCAAACGTCGTCAAATTTAGGCCTCTTTTAAGATTGAGGCGAAGTTTTTAAAATGCATGCATGTCAAATATTCTAATGAGAAAACCGTAAGCACACTAAAATCGATAAAGAAGATGCACTCTGCAGCTGCTGAGTGGATGGGGGGACTCAGTTTGGAGCTGGCTATATAAAGGTTGACGCAGTGCAACACCAGCATATTCCTAAAGCAATCATGGAACACAGAGCATCAATGCTTTGGATAGGTGAGTATACTGTGCAGCCGGTCGTGTCTTAAGCAAATCAAATTGTTGATTCCCAAAACCAAATCATATTCGCAGTGCTGCTCTCCTTGCTGGGCATTGGTTACGCCTTCCAGGATAAGGGACAACAGCAGCCAAGTCTGGTGCAGTCACGCAGCGATAGTTTGCAACAGCAGCAGCAGCAGTCACAGCAGCTTGGAGGAAATGGAGTTGGCATAAATGAGGATTCTGGACGTGGCCTCGACTTTACCAAACACTTTGGGAGCGCCAACCAGAAGACTGTAACCAAACCAGAACAACATCAGCACCATTACTATTATAATCCGGAAGGCAAAGATAATCCTCGACAGTTTTGGCCAGGAATACCACCACGTCCACCCTATAGTTCCTGGCCATATGGCTGGGGTCATTGGGGTCCTGGCAGTCCTGGCTTTCCTGGTGGTCCTGGCGGTCCAGGTTTCCCTGGCGGTCCAGGTTTCCCTGGCGGCCCTGGCTTCCCCGGCGGTCCCGGCTTTCCTGGCTTCCCTGGTTATCCTGGCTATCCCGGTTATCCTGGCTATCCCGGTTACCCACGCTATCCCTTCTTCCCTGGCTATCCACCTTATCTATATCCTGGCTTCCCGTTCTATCGCTCATCGGACAACGAGGGGGGAGAGGGCGAAGAGGGAGCTCTTCAATCAGAGCTATCAACTCACGCCATTCCCGGCAGCTATCAGGCACGCGTTTTGGCCTCCACGGGCAACCTCATCCCTGGCAAAAGCAGCGGCAATGTATTGCCCCTCTATCAGCTGCTCAATGTGGCTAGACTCTAGGCTATATCTACAGCTGACAACTTCACTACACACTCACACTCACACTCACAAATTGACCTATTTCATGAAAATATAAAACAATTTAATCATATTTTAAGCATATACATTTTTTCACTTCAAGTTCCAAATGGGTTTACAAATATTTGAAGATTAACGTGGCACGGTCCAATTTCAAAAATTGAATGCAAGAAATGTGTATTTCAAGTTCAAATGCCGTATTAACCCAGAGACTAAATGGTGTTGCTTTTGAAAAATGGTTCAGTAATAAACCTTGAACCCCAAGCCGATCTTCAAAGCTTTAAAAGACATTAGTTGCCAATATACTAAAAAGTAATTTGTATACCAAAGTTGCCACATAAGTAAAACGCATTAAAAGAAATATGAAACAAGTCATAAGAGGAGCCGATCTTCAGATATTTGAAAGTGTTGGCATTTTGAGATATAATAACAAATCGATAACGCCATATGTCGTTCGGTATTTCAGCAAAAAAAGAAGTAAAAAAAAAAAATTTAATAAAAAATAAATAAAAAATAACGCGTCAATGGCCGCCGGTCTGCCAGCTCAGATCTTAATGATCGTTAACTTCTCGACTCTTGAATTAAAAAACACACACAAACCCGCCTTCATTATTTCATTTGGATGTATGCAAAAAAAAAAAGGCAAACAAGAAATCGGGGAACAGTCTTGGGCTGACTTTGCTGACTCACAGTTGTCCAGTGATCCAAGCTGTGGCCACGTCTGACGCATAGCAGGTTTTTGGATCAACAAATAGAGACAATGAGCAACTGATTTTCAAATTCATAAATATTTCGCTAGCTTTTTGTTTGGTTTGGTTTGCTTTGTGACTGATCTTGGACGCAACTTCAATTTTGCAATTGCAAAAAGCTGTTTAGAGCCAAGTAAAACTGTTTCGCATTTACCTTTTTGTTTCTTTCTGGCTTTAATGTGTGTGAATATGTACGAGTAATTCGATGTTCAGTTTTTGCTTTCTTTCTTTTTTGATTCCACTTCCACGAAAAGCCCTTAGTTGACACTTTGCTCAAAACACTTGGCGTCGCCGTCGACTCGGTAATCTTGAGCGCGTTCTCGTTCGACCGACTGTCGTTTCAACAATGGTTCACCAAGTTCCATTACTTGATAATGTAGAAAATAATATAATAAAACTGCATGTAGCAACGTACAACATATTGAATTATTGCCTTCGTATCGGCGTAATCCAAATTTATGATTAGTGAGGTTGTATTTATTGTCTTCCACAGAACTTACAATGTCTGACAAAATGTTCAGTTGCTTTTTGCTTCAGACCAGCTGGTTTAAATGATTTTTAATATTTTCTTTTATATCAGTTGAGATCAGATGCCGAATAAGGAATCAACTACACATAAATCACGTTTTTGTTCCACTTTTTTCTTCTTTTTGTTGTTGTTGTATAGGGTATAGCATTTGTCGCGCTGACCTCGTTAAAGATCACGTTCATTATGTCTGTCGTCTGTTGGCAGAGCTTAATGCTTGAGTCATCATATGGACAGTCCCCATATGTATATGATTATTATCTTATCAGAGTAATGTTTGCCTGGCGCACCATTAAAAGAAAACCAAAGTGTAATAAATGCAATTCCACCATCGGGAACACCCTGTGTAAATCGAACCATTAGAGTTCTACAGAAAAATAAAATGAAATAAAATGTGAACTTCATTTTTATCACTGAATTTTTAGTTGAAGCCGCCAAAAGATAACGATATTGTGTGGTCTGTGGCGATAACTGAACGCTTAGCATTGCATGTGGTCATAAACCAAAAATATTGCCAGTTCGTAATTAACACAAATCAATGTTTGACAAATCGAAGAAATCACCCGCATGCACGTATGCATAAATATATAAATAAATATATATATTTTGGGTGGTTCACATGATTAAGCAAACTAAAATGCGTGCAATTTTGAGGTCTAAGACTCTCTCTATATATATACATATATATAGTATAAGTCGGTCTTCTGTTTGTTTTTCTTTGTTGCTCATTGTTCGGCATTTGTATGCAAGAATTACATCATTACCATTAGAAGCGCTTGCTTTAAAGTGGTCTTTTCAGCTTGTTTTTTTCTTCTTCCAACTAGTTGAAAAAGAGTCTATGACATTGAAGGTAACGCTCTGCTGATGGCTGGAGAAGGAGGATGAGGAGGCGGAGGGGAAGTACGCTCTTTTGACGAACATGGTGCAGACTAAGCGGCTTACCGTCTTATTGCCACAGATACACAATTGAAAAATGGGTCAAATCAATGGAGCACAAGCCATTGAAATTGAAAATGAAAAATGAAATTCGATACAAATTGCAATGGGGCGTTGATAACAATAAAAAATACAACAAAAAAAAAAAGAGTGAGACATAAACATTTCCATACATATGTAATGCATACAATTATACTGTAGTAGATAGATTTTAATTTAACATCGGAAACGATGGCTGTTATGTCAAAAGTTGACCCGCTTTGTGTTTGTGTTTGTTCCTGCTGTAAAAACTGTGCAAACAAAATTAACAAACGCAGGAAGAAGTAGAGTAGAGGAGCCATTCGAAAGGAAGTGTCCAGGAAGCGAAACAGTCGCCTAAAAGCAAATGGAAGATAGCTGGCTGCCTGGCTGGCTGCCTGGAGGTTAAGGTGTCGCTCTTTGATGTGTTGCTTTTGCCACAAACCAAAGCAAAGCAAACCAAACCAAACCACCACCGAAGAGGCAGCAAAGAGGCAACCGCCACATATCGTAAATGCCGCTTTATTAGTAGACGTGCGTAGTATAAACATAAACCAGATTTGTGCTCGTTGTCGTCTTTGTTTTTTTTTTTTTCTTATTATTTTTTTGTGGTGTCCAAGTTCAAATTGTGCAAAAGGAAAGAAAGTCGCGCTGTCAGCCAGAGCCAGCCAGAGCAAGTCAGCAACAGCGGATGGATCACCACCACACGGGGCAAACCGGCAGAACCGCTTTTTAGCGACGATCTTTATAACTCTTCTTTTTTATTTTATTTGTATTTTTTTGCGTCTTTGGTGTCTTCTTTGCCTTGACTGCATTTAGCCACTGTCATCATCCAATAAGGATGCCAAAATATGAAGAGCTTGTTTTTCATATGCAAATAATTGCAGCACTAATCAGTTTTCATCATTACAGTTATCGTCTGCATATCCGTAATGGCTAATTAGCTGTGACAGTCGTGACAAGGAGTTCGATCCCAATAAACATCAATACACGTTTAATAAATGAAAGCAAGTACAAATAATTTCACTCACTGTCTGTCGTTGTTTGAATTTCTTTTTTGATTTTGATTGGGGGTACCGTTAGCTTGACCCGCCGCTGTCGGCGGCAACAGCGACGTCCCACAAAAATATTACGAAAAATCGACACTTGTTGCTTCTATGGCCGCGAACACTTGTTATGTGGTTGTTGTCGTTGTTATTCTGCGTTTAGCTTTGGCACGCGTTCCGCATTCAAATTGTCATGTGCCCAAAAAACACAAATGTTCTTGAGCTGCCAGCTGAAATAATATTAATATTTCAGAGCGAAGCACCGGCGAGACGACAAACGCACCTTGCAAATGTTAAAACCTAACTGAAGTGCGGCGTTACTTTTGCCGCCACATTTCGCATAGCCCACCACACAGCGCAGCAAAGAACAACAACAACAGCCGCTGAAATATCGATGACCGTAAAAACGGATTAATCGCTTATCGATTGTTTGCGCGCCTTAATGCGTGCAGGTGGCAACGTTGATCAAAATTTTAAACTTGAAAAATATAACAGCAGCCGTCAATTGAACTTTTCACATTTATTTTTATTGTTGATTCACCAATTGATCATTATAACAATATATTAACTATACTTAAGACATTTACTAATGCAACACAATATGTTTCCAGTTGATTTGATCGCTGAAAGTAAATTGTGTTTTATATTTTATAATTTTCCTTTATTTACTTGCAATCCAATGTAAAGTGCAACATGTGTTGTAGAAATCAACCAAATTCAAATATGTGTACTCCCCTCTCTCTCTCTCTCTTTCGCTTCTCAACCTCACTCTCACTCTCTTTCTCTTTCAACAACTTTTAGATGAAATGATTAGATCAGACTAAAGCCCTGTGTTTGCTGTATTGCTTGCTGTAGTTTATACTTGAGTCGTTCCCTGGTCTTATATCGCGGCAGATCCAACAGATTGAAACACGTGTGTGCGACGGGCAGGAAGCGTTCATCAGGTGTCGGTTGTATAATTATCTGTAAGTCAAACAATTATATAAGCAATTAAATCGAATACAACACTTTCTATATACCTTAATTGCTTTCATGCCCTGAATGGGTATACGATCACTGCCCGTCAAATAGAGCAGGAAACTTTTCTTCTCCGCCTCGGACAGATCGTGAAACACTTCCCAGAACCATTTAACCTATAAAGAATACAGATTTATAGATATTTCGATTTGTCTTCATATTTATAGACCTACCGTTTCATCACCGGACGTATAACCACTCTTGTACTCGCAATTGTCCTCGAGCGCCTGCCAATCGTACTCCTCGTTGCCGACGACAACAGCCATTAGTTCCTCAGGCTGAAAGATCTCCAGCACACGGCCCGAGCACACCTTCATGAAACCCTCGTGGAAGGCGCGATAATGTACCTCCACCGATTTATTAAATATGTAATCAACATAGAGATTTACAAACTCCTGCCTGGATGCATCAACATGATAAGCAATATAGAAAAATACACTCGAATTCTAAGGCAGACCTGTTATCCATTGTGACAGCAATGTTGTTGCCATTGGTTTTCAATGGCTGAGTCTCGGACTCCCCGTAAATGTCGCGTGATATCTCAAACGTCAAATCGAAGGTATCTTCGAAGTTGTCGCCCTCATAGTCGAGCAGTGCCTGCATCGAATTCGCTTCTGTCGGTGACATCTCACGCAGATCACTCAAATCCACCGGTTTCTTCAACAATTTCTTGTAAAGAGCCAGTGGAAAGGGCAGATTAATGATGGTGAAATTATATATCGCCAAACCGCAGAGGACGCCAATTAGGAAATACATGTTCTCTGACTCGAAAGTGATGTCTGCGAACCACATGACGTGCGAATCTTCAAACTCCTTGAACATGCCATATTTGGGATCGATGAGATCCTTCAGCAACAGCATAAAGAACTCTTTTCGGACACCGCCCGCATCTTCGGCCTCCTCGTTCTGAAATTTGATTTTCAGCGGCTTCTTAAGATCCATTTGAGTATAGCGCTCCAGTTCACGCAACGAATCCTGCACCAGATTCTCTCGCGTCACATTCAAAACGATGTACTGCGAAACGTGTCCATATTGGAACAGATTATAAAATGCCTGCAATCAGCACAGTATAATTATAAATTTAAGAAATATGCATCAAGATATTGATATAGTCCATAACGTACATTGGAGACGGCGTTCGACATGGCCGAGTGCTTTTGGAGCATCTGATCCGCTTGGAGCAGAGCCGTTTTGGCGGACGCATCGAAAAGGAATGGGAACTTGCAAATGTTAAACTCGTTAGAATCCGACATTATCCAACTCAAATACTCTTGCTGTACGTCCACATAGTCGGATAGATCGGGCCAATGGAAGAGCTGATAGTTGAGCCGCTCGTCGCGCTGATCATTGACGTGACACAGATGCGCCAACAGACGCAGCACAGTCTCCAGATCGCTGTTGTAGGGCAAAACCTAAGAGAAGCATTATGAATTATACTTGGTCAGAGATTGATTGCGATATGCCTACCCTTTTCTGGCGCGGCTCATTGGTATTGATCACCTCGATGCCCATCTTGAAGCTAATAATGTGCATGGCAACATGTAGAAAACTGTTCACCATATGCTCAAAATACTCCGATGGTGTTTGACCCCACCATTTCTCCAGCACCTTGCGCGGGTTCTGAGTCAGCTTGAAGGTGGCATTGGCGAAGGGTACATGCAGTGTCTTGTAGTGCTTAGAATTAACGAACTCATGATAGAGTGGCAGCAATAGATAGAGACGCATACTCTCAACATCCGCCGGCGACGGCACCAGCGAGCCAAGCAGCTCTTTCGTCAGATTATCCCAAATCTAAAAGCAACATCAATTTATTTGCCATACTCTAAAATTTGTAGAATTTAACTTACGACTTGTTTGATGCTCTGGTTCTCCACTTCACGCAGATTATCAAACGCCAGCTGGGCAGCTTTCAGATCGAGGCCATAGTTACGGGCGGAGCAACCAAAGTGCTTGTCCTGCTTCAGCAGAAAGGAGCCATTGAGGCAGGCCTGACTCTTGAATATCAGCTCCATGGAGTTCAATAAATCTAAATCACTTTGATCGTCCTCCTTGAAGCGGGCACATTGACTGGTCGCCTCCGCCGTAAGCACCAGAATCTGAGATTTGGGTCTGCAAGGCGATATTATATATGTAAGTAAGATATATAAGTAGATATATGGCTGGTGTTTGATATACATATGCCTGATCTGCGCAAAGTTTTTACAATTATAATCCAAAATTAGATTAAGCATAAAAAATGAAATTTGGATTTACTCATAGAAACGGCAGTCGACTGGCGGTTTTTTGTCCACATAGAGCGATGTGGTCACTATCGATTGATCGCCTCCCGAGAAGATCTGTCGAATGACAACGGCGATCTGTGCATCGCTGGACTGCAGCAGAGCTGAACCGCTTGGCGATACCCAAGGCCCGATGACCATCTGTGGCAGATTTAAGCTTTTGGTGTTACGCGTGCCTAGCTGCCCCGAGCTGCCCAGTCCAAAGCCATAGATGCGACCACGTGCCGGCACCATGGCGAGTGTATGACGATTGCCGCATGCCACCTGCGATATGGTGCTGCCCATCAGCTCCATGACCATGCGTGGCAGCATCTCATTGCCGCAGAAGCCGTGACCCAGCTGACCATAGGCACCAGCACCGCATGTGAACACACCGCCCTCGTTGGTAAGGAAAACGGAAAACTCATCGCCGCAGGCCACAAAACGGACGCCAAGCGTACGCAGTGTCTTCAGCTGGGTGGGATAGGCACGATTCGTCTCATCATTCAAGCCCAACTGGCCGCAATTATTGCGACCCCAGCCAAAGACCGCACTCGATTTGGAGATGAGAAACGAATGATTGCCGCCACAGGCAATGGCCCTGACTGGTATGCCCAGCAGTGTGGTCAATAGCATGGGCGCGTTGCACTGACCCAGCTCACTGGGTGTCTTAACGCCCAGCTGGCCATAGATATTGGAGCCCCACGCATACAGCTCGCCACCTGCAAATGTTTATGTAGGGATAAGGACGAGTGCCAAAGCTTTAGTCCCGATTACTTACAGCATGTGAGTGCCAGACTGTGATTGTTGCCACAGGCAATTTGCACGACTGTCTTGGAGACAAGGGCGCGTACAGTTTTTGGCAGCTGGACGACATCCTGATCGCTGGCATGACCCAACTGGCCGCACTCATTGTCGCCCCAGCTGAGCACCTGGCCCCATTCGGTGAGCGCCATCGAATGGCGACTGCCGCAAGCGATTTGCGTGATCACACAATCCACCAGCTCTGGTATCTGCACTGCAAACGAACAAAGCAAACAAACAATGAGACATGAGACGCATAGCAACAGATTTGACTGGATGCGACATGTGCGACAATGTGGTGCAGGGGGTGAGGAGAACGACAGTGTACAAAACGAGAATGGAAGATATGTACATACGAAATGGCGACATACGTGGCCTTTTGCTGGACAACTCATGCCCCAGTTGGGCATAATCATTGCTTCCGCATGCATACACCTTGCCGCTGGCGGTGAGGAACAGTGTATGCCGATGACCGCATGCAATCTGGTTGACCGCCGAGTCTGGCTGCCACGGCATCTTACTGGGCGTCAATATCTATAAGCAAATATAAATTACAATCTCAGTCACTTGTGTATTTTGCTGTTATCTTCCACTTAGTCACCACCTGTTCATCTTCGATGCCGCCAAGACCCAGCTGACCGTGCGATGCATTGCCCCAACAATATAATTCCATATCTATGCAGCCGCACGTCGAAAACTCTCTCGCTTGTCGTTCGTTTTAATCGTTGCTGTTTGGCTTGTTGTTGCTTGTATTATTATCTCTCAACTTTCTCAATTTGCCTTTGGGTATTATTACAGAATATTCGAGAGGCTTTGTGGTAGAAACATTATTTTGCCACACTGGATTCGTCCGTTGTGAGCTGAAGTTCAAACGTTGCTATTTTATTATTTTTTTCGAGCAGCGCATTGTGTGTGCTTCTAACCGGAATGTTGCTTAAATTTCGACAGAAAATTCTGTTCTATAACAAAAATAACAAATTATAACAAATAAAAACCGCAAGAACAACAACAAACGAAACCAACAAATAATAATAGCGCTGCCAATTGATTCGGAAGCTTTTAGGCCTATACACACTACTCGCAATGGCATGCCCATGTTATCGATTAATTGCGGATGCAGGAAGCGAAAATAATAACTTACATTTTTATTTGTAGTATTATATAAGTATGCTAGTCAATTTTCTTCTTATTTCTTAGCTTTGTTTATTTGCATGCTAGTCAATAAAATGAAATAACCACCTAATTTGTGCAGCGTGCACGAAATGCTTGTTTAGTTTTGGGAGAGTGGACGGAGCCGCTGCTGCAAATTATTGCCGGTCACTGAGACTGATGACTGAACTCTGAACTTTTTTGTGCAATTAAGCAGCGAATAGTGGAATAAAGCAAATTGCGTACGAAATTCCCGTTGATAATAACAGATAAAGCGCGCAATTGAAAATTCAAAATCTGATAAGAGCTCTTAAGCCACAGCTATTGTCAGACAAGCAACAAAAACCAGTTGCTTCAAGTTGGACATCTTTTTTGCTGTTGTGCTGAGAAAGCGGAAAATTCATTGATTTTCAACCGATTGCTGCCACGCGAGCAGCAGCAGCAGCAGCGACAGAATGCATAAAGCCTTTGTGAATATAAATCGCATACCCACACCCATCATTACGTGGGGCAAGTGGATCGAGGAGTCGCTGACCGATGTCAAAGAGCTGGTCATTTGCATAACGGGTAATCCGGGATTGCCCGGTTTCTACACCGAATTCGGCGCTGCACTGGAGCAGGAGCTGCCAAACCTGCCCGTCTGGGTAATAGGTGAGTGGTAAATGAATTGCAGTCACCAACTGTCATCATTGGTCATTTTGTAGGTCATGCTGGTCACGAAGATCCGCCAGAGGCGAGCATTCGCGAGGTGCCGCAGCTCAGCGGCAACGAGGAGCTCTTCAATCTGAACGGACAGCTGGCGCACAAGTTGGACTTCATCAAGAATTACGTGCCGAGTCATGTAAAAATCCATCTAATTGGCCATTCGATTGGCGCCTGGATGATACTGCAATTGCTCGAAGACGAGGAGATTCGCAGTCGTGTCAAGAAGTGTTACATGCTGTTCCCCACCGTGGAGCGCATGATTGAATCACCCAACGGTTGGACATTCACCAAGATCGCAATGCCTCTGTATTCCGTCTTTGGCTATGTTTCCTTTCGCTTCTTCAATATGCTGCCCGTTTGGGTGCGCATCTTCCTCATTCAAACTTACTTTTTCATCCGTTCGATACCCAATAGCTTTGTGGACACCGCCCTGCAATATTTCAAGTCATCGGTGGCGGAGAAGATCATCTTTATGGCCGACGATGAAATGGCTCGTGTTCGCTTTCTGCAGCACAAGAACATCGAAGAGCATTTGCCACTGCTAAAGTTCTATTATGGCAAAACAGATGGCTGGGTGCCCGTCTCCTATTATGACAAGCTCAAGCTGGAATTTCCCCAAGTGGATGCACAGCTGGACGACAAGGGAATCGCTCATGCATTTGTGCTCCGGCACTCGAAGCCTATGGCAAGCATTGTCGGCAATATGATAAAGGAGAATTTAGATTAGAAATGCTCCGCATATGTTTTGCTCGCAGTTAGCCAATTGTTGCCTAATCTTTAGTTGTTAAGCAATCACTTTACTGGGTATCGATTAGAATTGCAGAGAAGCTGCAAATTGCAAATGATTCATCGAGGCAATGAGAAATGCCGGAGACAATTTTATATTTTAAGTGGACTCGGCAAAGTTTTGCTATTCTAAATGGGATTGGGACCAGCTCCTGCACAACAGCAATTTATCTAATTCAAATAAATACCAATTGTTGTAACACATTTTATATATTTTGCATTCACAATTTGCAGATAAAGGTTAAAGTTCAAGTTGATCAACTGATCAATGTGGAGTGGTTTTGTAGAAATTTAACTTCTAATTGCTGGCCGCTGAACCGGAACGTGAACGTGAACGGCTGCGCGACGGTGAACGCGAACCGGAACCGGAGCGAGAACGTGAGCGCGACTTGGACTTGGATTTTGAGTGAGAGCGCGAGTGAGAACGGGATCGAGATCGAGACGGTGACTTTGATCTGGACCTGGATTTCGATTTCGATTTTGATTTGGAACGGCTGACGGAACGTGAACGCGAACCGGATGCCGACTTGGAGCGCGAACGTGAACCGGACTTCGAACGTGATCGGGACTTGTCCGATTCGCCGCCAGACTCGATGCGATTCTTGGCGCGCTTGCGTTGAGCAACTGCATCACTGCCGCTGCCGCTGCCACTGCCTTGACTCCGACTGCGTTTGCGTCCACGATCCACACTGCCGCTGCCCGAGCGACTGCCACTGCGACTCCGACTGCCGCTCTTCTGCCTGCTGCCGGAACGGCTGCGACTGCTGGCGCTGCCAGAGCGACTGCCACTGCCCGATTTGCTCTGACGCCGACTGCGACTGCGGCTTCTGCTGCGACTGCGTTTGCCATCGCTCTCAGATTCGCTCGTGGAGATTGTCTCCTTGGAGACGATTTTGAGACGCTGCTTCGCGGACAGTTTCTCCTTGGATTCCTTGGCATTCTTTTGCTGCTGCTTCTTCTTCTTCTGCTTGCTTTTGTTGTCCCGATTGCCACCGGCGGATTCCTCATCGCTATCGCTCTCATATTTCTCAGACTTTCGCTTGCGTCCGCTGCCCTTCTTCCGCTCACCCTTGCTCCTCTTCTTCTTTGCCGGGCGTTCGGCACCCTCGCGTGGCTCCCCATCAGCGCTATCCGTGCCGGTGATGTAGTCATCCTTGCGTGGTCGGCCGCTGCCCTTTTTGCGCTCGCGTTCGGTGGGCGCATCGGCAATGATGAGCAAATTCTTTGTCTTCTCCACGTACTCCTGCCGCTTGGCAAGCAACTGATCGCGGGAGGATTGTGCCTCCTCCTCGCGTTTCTTGCGCTGCTCGGCTATCTTCAGCTTGAACGCTTCGCGCTCGTCCTCCTGGCGGCGGCGCAACGTGCGCTCCTCCTCATCGATTCGACGGGCACGTCCCACATGGTATTGGGCCTGCGAGAGCAGATCCTGGCACGTGTTGGCCTCCACGGCGGCGACCTCAATGTTGAAGCGCGTCTTGTCGCCGTGCACGGACAGATATTGGAAGTATCTAAGAAGGGAATGGATTACATGTTATGGTTGGAATCCATTCAAGATTTCTCTAACTCACTTGTGAGCCAGCTCCAATTCGTGCACCGCCTGCAAGACAACCTCCAGCGTGGACTTCTCATCCTTGAGTATGGCCATGGCCAGGCGGGAGAGCACCACGGCAATGTTGAACAGCAGCACGGTGTCCTGGGGGGCAACACGACGTGCGCGAAGCAGCACCGATTTCGCCTCGACGAGCTTATTGGCACGGAGATAGGCACGGGCGAGGTACTGCATCACCTCGACATTGTTGTGCTTGTAGAACTTCTTCATGCAATTCTCGTACATCTGAATGGCGCTGATATATTGCTTCTGCTCCACATAGACATGTGCAATGTTCAGCCACACGTCGCAGAAGTCAGCGGTTGCCTCGCGCACCTGGGCAAAGATGTCGCGTGCCTCGATCACACAGCCCTTGTGGGCGAGTACGGCGCCAATGCCATTGGTCGCCCAAATGTTGCGCGGATCGGTGCGCAGAACCTGGACAAGGTGATTTTGGATGAATAATCAGAGTAATAACAATAATTGCTGCCCATTCTCAGTTACCTGCTTGTAAATGGCCAGCGCCTTCTCCTGATGCTTGCGCTCCTTCTCCTTGTCGCGACTCGGCTGATGCAGTGTCTGCAGCGAGAAGTTGCCCAGCGCAATCAGTGAATAGGAATCGGAGCCAGTCGCCGGATTCTTTAGAATGGTCTCAAAATTCTTTTGACCCAAAGCGAATTGCATTTTGGCCAAATGCAGATTGCCCAGCAGCGATCGAGCATCCGGATTATCGTTGTTGATATTGAGGGCATCCTTAAAGAAATCGGATGCAACAAAAATCAAACCCTTGTCGCGGGCCATGCAACCCAGCCGAAGATAGCAATCAATGTAATTGGGATGCTCCTTGAGGATCTCCTTGTACAGTTTGTCGGCGACATCAAAGCTGCTCATCGCCTCATTTAAACGGGCCAAATTATATTTCATGGTCACCTGTATGGACTCATAGTACTTCACATCCTTATCCATTTCGGAGCTGGCATGCTTCAGTGCCGACTCCAGCGTATGCTTGGCCATTTTCAAATTGCCCAGTCGATAATAGAGCGATGCCACATTATTCTGTATCTCGGCCGGAATCTCGTACTTGGCCTTGTCCCGCAATATGCTCGAAGCGGTGCCATAAGCATTCAACGATGCCTGCAAATCATTCTGTTCCAAGATCTGTGCCAACTCAATCCATGCTTCAATATCCTCAGGGAACTGCTCGGTGACCTTCTTCAGGTGGGTCTTGGCCATGTCCCGCTTGGTCTGTGAATTGGAGTGGGCATACAGTGAGCCCAGGATTTTCATTGTCTCATAGTTGCCCGGCTGAATCTTGAGCACCTTCTCAAAGCACTGAGCTGCCTATCAATTGATAAATATATTAATAATAGTTGAATAAGAGAATAGTCGTTAAATCGCATACATTTTCCGTGTCGCCGCGATAGATGTACATCTGTCCAAGTCCATAATGGGGCAGCACAAAGTTAGCGGGTGCAATCTGTGTGGATTGATAGTAGTACTGGAAGGCCTGATCATAGTCGCTCTGGGCATGAAAACTGCGCGCCAACTGATAACAGCTCTCGGCGCGCATCGCCTCGTTCTCCGTGTTGTGGAAGGCGTGCAGGGCGAGATGATGCACCTTCTGGTAATCTTTCTTGAAGAAGAAATGATTGGCCAAATGATTGAGCACCATCGGATTGGCATTGTCAATGGTGTAGGCCTTAGAGAGCATTTGTACGCCCAACTTATTGGATTCCGGCTCCAATTGATTCAGCTTTAACACTGCGAGGCCAATTAAGGCACCCACACATTGCTGATCCAGCTGGAGGGCACGCTCAAAGGCCAACTTGGCCTTCTCTGCATTGCCCATCTTGAGGAAACAGTGCGCCATGCCAATTCGTACATTCGCCGGACAATTGGGATTCGTTCGCAACGCCTTCTTGTAGAAGGCCATCGCACCGCGATAATCCTTGCGATTGAAGGCGATACATGCCTTGCCCAGCAGCGATGGTATATTCGATGGCGACTGATTCAGCACAAAATTGAACTGGGCATCTGCCTGGTCCATTTTGTCGCCCTCGAGCAGACAGAAATAGGCACGGCCCAGCAAATGGCTCTGATCGTACATAATGATCTTGTCCGCATTCGTATACAAATTGGTGGCCTTCATGAAGAGCTCTCGCTTCTTATCCTTGGACTTCTCCCGATACGCCTCCTGCACATAGTGGGCGGCCAGCATGTCCAGGGCACGCATTTGATCCGTCTTAAAGTCACGATAGTCAACGGTGCCCTTCTCCCGCGCTGCCTCCAGCAGCATAATAAAGTCATCAGTCTTCTTCTGCTTATAGTAAGCCAACTAAAGAAGAATATAAATAAATTTTATATTTATATATATATAAAAACCATGTGGGGAGCTGCAAATGTATCACTTACGGCCACATTAACCCAGACGTGGAGCGGCGCTCGCTCCTGCAGCAATATGCTAAACACCTCGGAACATTCCGGCAATTGATCTGGGTCCACTTCAATGACCTGTAAGCATTTTTAATATTTTTTTTTTTTGTAACTTGCAAACGCGTTCATCTAATTTTAATGTCTTGTTACTCACCTCATCTGTGTCCTGCAGCGGAATTTCGATGCATGTGGACATGATTACAGCTGGCGTGGCTCGAAGGCCAAACACTTGAGCACTTTACGGCGTTTTATAAGACAGAAATTAACAATTTCTCCTTTAACGCGGTACGCTTGCCAATAAAAAAAACATTGAGACAATCGATAACAACGATGCGTAGAGTTGCGTGAGAAAATATCGCAAGTGAGCACGACTAACTCTCGATAATATCGCAATTATTGATCGACCAACCGCCACAATCGAGCAGCTGTGTAAACGATAACTAAAATATATCAACAAAAAATTTGTTGTCCAGACATTTTTGCGAAAATAAGCATAAATAGTGACAATATCGATTTTAAGGATGTCGCGTCGCAGCCAGGACATTCCCATAAGACCACGATACGGCTATACAGATGAAGCCGAGGGTGAAGAGTCTGCCACTGGCCAAAGCAAAGCGCAGCAACGAAACAATTGTGGAACACCTGCCTCCTACTCCGAAATCCCATTCCTGGCCCAATACGCTGGCCCAGTGCCGGAGCATGTGTTGCAGGATATCACACCCACAGCCAACAGCCAGGCAGCTCCGCTGGCCAACGAGAGTTACGTGAATCTGGACTCGGGTGAGGACGATAACGATGATGACGATGACGAGGAGGAGGAACAGAGCAATAGCAATTCTAAGGACAGCTCCAGCGAGCTGGGCAGAACAACGGGACGACCCAAATCACTGCAGTCCAGTGAGTGCAACATTGGAATTGCTTAAAGTTGTTTTTCTTGCAAAGATTATCACTTGGGTATGCTTGCAGAATTTCCCTATGAGCTAGAGGGCGAAGGTGCGACCAGCAGCACGGGTACCATGCATCATTTCGTGGCCCACAATCTGGAGTCAAAGTTGCGCGCCGCCACGGACTATAATATTAGCTCGGAGCACACAACGCCATCGCTGTCGACAGCGCCGATCTCGAGGTTCCTCCAATCGCGCAATGTGCCCGAGGTGGATGGTAATGTACTGAGTGATATTGAGCTGGAGGCACAGTATTTGGCTACCTCCGTGGATAATCTCGTTGAGAATCTGGGCAATCTGCTGCACTCGATCTCATCGATAACCGCCGATAACGTGGAGGTGCACAAGAATGCGGTGAAGAAGCTCACCGATGCGTTGGATGCGAACATTAAGTGCCAGTATCAATTGCTGGCCAAAACCGAGGAGATCTCCAAGTCAATGCGACCCACCGAGCAGCTGAGCCAGCGCATGTGAGTATTAAATACATTCGATAAACTAACATATCGATTACATATGTTAATTGCAGTCGGGAAATAAAGCGACTTGTAGATATGCTCGATAGCAGCATGTAGGATGAAGCCAGCGTCGGAGGAGTGGAGCTGGCAGCTGCATTTCAGCAGGATATCAATGACTCTCCGTGTGCTTTTCTCTGAGCATAGCATTCCATTAGATTACATTACTAGTCACTTTTATTATATTCAATATTGTAAATCTGAAATTAGAATTAATAAATAAATATATATGTAATTTAAATATTCCGCCAAATGCCGATGTCACAAACGGTGTGACCAGCTAAAATATATACTACAAGTTTGTACCTAATTTTTGTCGAGCTGGTATTTATAGGCGCATTCGAAAATGTATTTTTTTTACATTCTGTCGTCGGTCACGCTTGTCCATCTAGTCTACTAAAACTCTCTGTATAAAACGGACGCTTGGTCGGTCGTTCTCGGGCTCGTGGAAAAGTGAGCAAAATAAATTTATTGTGATTCATGCTTGCGTGTGCGTGAGTGAGAAAAGAGGGAGCGAGCGAGCGAATCATGGCGAGTGTTTTAATAACGAAAATTCAATTACTACACTTTCTATAATTCAATTTTTGTGTTCCAAAACGTAATGCGGCCAAAGTGTTTGCGCGCAGTGTGAATGCTTTATCCCTTAATTTTCTACCGCAGCCCGCCCCATCAACAAAATAATGAAAAGTAAGCACACAAATACACTTGCATTGAGTGCAATTGTGCGTGTAGTGTGTCTATGTGTGTGAATTTGAGTGTGTTTTTGTATTTGTGCTGTTTGCTCTATTCAAGTGGCAACAAGAAGAATAAGCAGCAGGCAGCACACCGAGAGAAACTCAAAGCGAATTGAAAACGATGAACTCAAAGTAGCTCACGTAGGCAGATGTATGTGTATGTGTGAGTGAGAGAGAGCGAATTATACACGTTTTCAATTGCATTTTTAACGTGTTTATTATTATTTTTTTTGCCACGAACATTGTTGTATGTATTCATTGCGCTTAACAAAACAATATTAATAATAAAACATGCTGACGCATTGTCATTTTGTATGTGATTTGCCCTCCCTCATATTTAATTATAATTTGTATTATAATATTATTTTGCCTGTTTTCTTTTTCCATTTGCGCCTTACAAAAAATTGTCAACGTTGCCATATGGAGGCAAATGCGGGCTGTTTGTTCTCTTTTGTCTTCTCTGCTTCCTTCTTCCTTTAACTGTTGTTTTTGCTCTTTTTCATTGTAATGAAATTTCATACGCAATATTCATTCACAGTTTATCGAGTCCGTTTGCTGTTGCTGCTGGCGTAGGCAACTTCTATATAATCTATGTGTGTGTGTGTGTGTGTGTGTGTGTACTTGCTGCTGTCCAGCGCTGCGTCATTATTGACATGAAAGAAACGCCGCCGCCAGCGTTGCCGGTTTGTGCCTGAGAGAGTGACAATTTTGAGTTTGACGAGAGAGTCGGCTTGTGTGTGTGTGTGTGTGAGAGAGAGAGAGAGAGCGCGCTCGCTCGCTCTGTTTGTCATTCATGCGAAGGATACTGAAAACAATATACTGGTGCGTCGACAGCTCTGCCGCTGCTTGCATTGCTGCTCGCGTCGTTAACTTACACAATTTTTATGTAAACGATTTAAGCGAAATTCGAGCAAACTTTAATCTGTTAAAAGAGCATGAGTTGCTCTCTCGCTCCCTATCTCTCACTCTCTCTCTCTCTCTATTCCTCCCACTCCCACTTGTCAATTAGTCGTGCAAATGGGCAACTTAAGTGAAATTCAAGGAACCACAGCAAAAACAAGGCGACAGCTGTTCAACAAACTAACCAATCTGGCTGTGGGTGGCGGAATGGGTAGTTAGTCTCCCTACATGCAATGTGCAATCGTAATTGAGGCCTTATCATAAAAATAGCGATAATATATTGTGTATTTATTTTTAATATTTTTGAGTATTGTTTTTTTTTTCTTAACGCTTCTCAATAATCTAAATTTTTCTGGTTCTGATTTATTAACTTATTAGTTAATTTTTAGCTTTAATCAAATTTCAAGTTTCTGATAATTCACTTAAGGTTTTAAACAATGTTTTAAAGACGCCATTGGAAGTCAGCTTGTATTTCTAAAAAAGGAAATCGTTTCCATCAGTTCCAAACCTATTCCAGTTCCTCAGTTCGTTTCGTTCCAGGCGCTTTTGTTTTTACTTGGGAAGTGAAAGCTAACAAAAATAAAAAACAAGGCTTCAGGACAAAAATAAAAACAAGTTTGGACAAGCAGAATAAAGCCAAAAAAAAGATATATACACCGTTTGCCACGCCCACATATTAACGGCCTAAGGCTTTTTAGAAATTGCGCAGTTTTCGTTTTGCCTTCTTTTCGCTTATTTGTTTCTCATTATGTTGTATTTTAAGTTTTCTTAATCCTTTGACTTTTTCACCCAAGCAAGCTAAATACACACACAAGCATATTTACACACGCACACACACACACACTTGCAAACATATGTTAGCATCCCCACCCACACCAAGCCTGCCTCAACTTAGAAGCTCCTAAAAAATGTGCCATTTTCTGTGCTATAAATATATGTGTATATATTTATTTGCATATGTGTGTGTAGTTAACTCTTATGTGTGTGTGTGTATGAAATTAACTTTGCCCACAAACGCAACATTTTGCGTTTTGCCGCCGGCCAAAGCAGTCTCCTAACTAACATCCCGCCCCCACCACCTCCACAACCCCATCCCCTTCGCGTTGATTGTGCAAAAGAAACTATTTCTGACGCGTCCGTAATCCACTCCGCTGAAATGCGAACTACGTAAATCCTTACGTGTCTGTTGAAATAATCAGCCCAGTTCCCCGCACCGCCCCTGCCTTGCCCAAGGTGGCGCGCCCACGTCAGCAAAAAAGCGACAATTTCGCGAATCCCCCGGGCAGCAGCAAGAGAGTGAGAAAGAGAGAGAGAGGGAGAGCGAGCGTGACGTCGACGTCGCTGCTGGCGCTTGCGCAGGCGCCCAACAAACAAACGTAACGGCGAAAGCCAGCGTCGCAGCCTTCAGCAGCAGCAGCATTAGCAGCAGCTGCCAGGCAGTCAGAGTCAGCATGGTCTCAGGTCTCAGAGTCTCAGCAAACGGCGTCTCAAGCAGTCGTTGGACGCGGCCAACAGTAGCAGCCAACAAAAAATAATAATATCCATAGAAAAGTTAAAGGACAAGGCTCGTCTGCAGCAGCGGAAGGTGCACAACAGAAGAATATAAGAAATTATACATAAATCTAATAATAGACTGAGAAACGATTTGCAACACTTTAACAAAATGTGTATATGTGTGTGTGTGAGAAACTTAAACAAAAAAATAAATAAATGTCGCAATTTGCAAACAAACTCAATTTATGTATTAATACATACGAGTTTAGATTTGTTGTAGTGGTTGTTGCTATTGCTGTTATTTGCGACTCGCCCAATAATAACAAAAATCAACTGAGCAAAAACCACACCAAAGAAATAAAACAACAAAAAAACAAAAACAAAATAAAAAACGCAAAACTCGTTTCGCCGTCGCCGCCTCGGAGCTTCAAATTCGCTCCTCTGCCGCTCTCTCTCTTTCTCTTGCTTCGGCTCAATTTCGCTGTGTTGACGTCTGCGCCGGTCGATGTGGCGCTGACGTTGGCGCTGCCTGCTGCGGCTGTGTGTGTGTGTTTGCGTGTGTGTGTGTGCACATTTGTTTGTTATGTTTGCCGTTCGCTTTTGAGCAGCTGCAACTTCTCGTCGCTTATTATTGAACAGCGACGTCGACGTCAACGTCGGCAGCATCTTTTGCAAACTTTTTCTCGTCTTATGAGTATGTGTGCGTGTGTGAGAACCGGCTTTTTGTTTGCTTTAATTTTTGCGTTTTTCTCGCCGCACATATTCATTATTATTTTGGTGTGTTTGCTCCTGCCCCCATCCACTTACCGATCTGCCCAGCCCAACAAGTTGTTAATTTTGTTTTTAACCATGCACAACTTCAAACGAAAGTTGCCAATTGAACAACAACAATCATTTACGTTCAAAGAACTTATTTTTTAGTTTTCTTTTCTGTTCGCTTGGCTTGCGTGCAAAAAGTGCGTAGAAAAATTGTTATCGCTATCTCTGTCGTTCTGCCTGTTTGCGTGCGTAATCTACAAAAGTGTTTTTTTTTTTCGCTGTTGTTTGTTCCTATTATGTTACGTTGTTTTGCTGTGGCCGTAAGTTTTTGCGTAGTTTTATAGTTCGGCCGACACGCACACAGGCAGTCACCCAATAGCGACGCCCCAAAATAAAAATGAGGCAGATATAAATGTATATAAAAACAAAAACCCAAAATTGGCCGTCTGGCGGCAGCGTTAATTTTATTGTTGTTGTTTGCACAAAAGATTCTCGAATGGAAATTTTCAACAACAAAAAAAAATGTACCGAAAATTGTTGCGTGTAGAACACTGTTTGGTACAGTGTGCGAAAATGCTGGACCCAAAACTTAAAATTAGTTTGGTTCCGCTCAACGAACGCAAACAAATCAAATTAATTAGTTTTAACAACTAATTAGCGTTTAGTGTTTTACTTTAAAATGAATGATTAAATCCGATTTAGGGTTGTGTTACAGAGTTGAAATTGAGTATTTTTTTAAACTAGAGACTTAAAAATTAGCAACAAGTTAGAAGGCTCCCAAGTATTTTTTTATTATAATATATAGATTCAATATATTAGTTTTTAAATTTTGTTAAAACGTTCACAGATGATAAATATAATGTTAATGTATAATCAAACAAAGACATTGTTTATTTATCGCTATCCGAAATCGATTATGATCGATATTCATAAAATGGATACAGTTTTTGATAAAATTAAATCAACTTATTATGCTAGTTTAAAATTTAGAGACTCGGCTATTGATGCTGATCAAGAATATATGTAATTAGCATATTTTCGCACAAACCAGTACACCCTTTCTGCCCATATTTAATGGGTATAGCGCAACATTTTACCTTTTTGCTTAAACTCTCTAATTGTCAAATGTTTTCTCTATTTGCAGATTCTCTTCTAAATTGACGTCAATTTGTCAATAGTATTTGTAAATAATAATTCTTCAAATATAACAGTCTATATGTAAAAATAAAAAAGCTGTTGGTCGACATCAACATTTTGGTCACGTTTCAATTTGCAGCCGTAATTTTTGTACAGTAAATTAAATTTGTAAGAAGGCGACAATTCCAATGAATATTGAAGCCTAGGCAACAATAACAACAGCAACAACAACAGTAAACGCCAAGGAGGAAAAGAAGACGAAGAAGAAAGAGACCAACAACAACAACCAAATCTAATCAAATCCAATTAGAAGCGAATTGAAAAAATCAACAAATAAAACAAGAAGAAGAAAAAGAAGCAGAACCGCCGAAGAAGAGCAAACGGCAATAAAATAAACCACACGAGCGTAACAAACGAAAGAAAGATAGATAGATGCAGAGAGTGAGTGAGTGAGAGAGAGAGAGACAGACAGAGCACCAGAGGATCCGTTGAATTAATTCGCATGCGCCAATGAAAACGTCGCATCTTTCGCACGCGTCCGATTTCGTCATCGACTACGCCGTCGTTGCCGCCGGTACCGGTTCCGCTACAGCAACAGCAACTTCGGTTTCCGGTTCCGGATTCCACCAGCAGCAGCAGGATCATCATCATCATCATCAGCCAACAGCAGCAGCAGCACACTTGTATCAGCCGGGCCGCCGTCAGAGCGATGTGGACATAAAGCCAACCGTCGAACAACAAATCAGAAGCATCCGAGGAGGTATCAGTTGTGATCTGTTGAAGCCCATCGTCTACCATCTCGACGCGGACACTCAGCATCAACAGCAGCAGCAGCGCCAGCGTAGTGTCATCATCAAGCAGCATCACTCGCAGGATCACCAGCAACAACAACAACATCAACGTCATCATCAACAACAGCAGCAGCGAACGTTGTCCAAGTCTGGAGCAGCGGCCAACAGCAAGCGAAAGCGCGAAACAGGTGAGTTTATTTTCAAATTAAGATATTGATCCTATATCTGGAGCATATACTTAACAATATATATCAAAACTAGCTCGGTTACAGACATTTATAAGTGTCTAAAAATTAGAATTCAGTTTGGCTATATAAAATATTACAAAATTAAAAGCTTTACCTTTGCAATTGTATCTTATATTGCTATCGATTTGTATCGATATTGTCATAGTCTGTGAGATCGGTTTACTAATACAAACAGACAGATAGTTAGGCATGGCTAAATGGACTCGGCTGTTGCTGATCAAGGATATGTACACTTTATGTGATCGGACATGCTTTCTTCTGCGTGTTATCTGTTACCTTTAGTTTTGCAAAACTTCTTACGCAGTTTAACTGGGTCTCCGGTATATAAAAACATTAGGCATGTTATTTCTAATGCAACAAGTTCTATTTCATCTGACTAACAGATTCAACTTGGACCCCCTAGAATGTCTGATGCATCTGCTAGGCGCTATTTCATCAGCTCTAATTTATGTATTTATTAATACATATTTATTATCTTGAGCAATGGGCAAAAGTCATTTGTGCATCGCATTGTTGCGTTTTTAATAATCGAATTATTATTAAGACAATTGCAATCGTAAAAACGAACAAAGTATATTTTTTCAATTTCGATTGTTCTTGTGATAAATTATGTAAATATTTATAGCCACCTAAATTTGAATAGAAATTTTATACCGATAATTTGACTATGTGCAATACAATTGAAAACTCATATCGTCTATCGTTATCGTTTTATCGAGCACACAAAAATGGCGCTTGGCGACAAACACGATTTACGCTGATTATATTTTATATATGATTATTTTTGGTTTTCGCATGCCTTCTTCTTCTGCCTCTGCTTCTGCTTCTTCTTCTTCATCATCACTTGACGCTTATCAAGTGGGGAGGAAAACGCGTGTATGCCCCTCTCCCCTCTTCCTAGTATGCTGGCTCTATTGATAATCAAACAATAAACGCGACGAGAAACCATGCGAAATGGTGTTGATATTTTATTGTTGTTTTTGTCACTTGGCTTCAGTTGAATGCGTTGCAAATGGCGAAAGACAGCAACAAAAAATCCCCACAGCCCCATCTCTTCTTGCTTAAGCGTGTGTGTGTGTGTATGTGTGTATGTAAAACCCAGCCGGCTATCTTTCACTCTTTTACCTCTCCCCATCTGCTCCTGTACTCTTTGTCTATGTCTTCATTTTGTTCAGCCATTCTTGATGTTTGTCTCTGATTACTTTGCAAGTTCAGACATGTTTGCTGTCTTCAGTTTGTTGATGTTTTTGTTGCCCCTCCCCTACTTGTTTTTTTTCTTTCGTTTTTGCTATCCATTAAAGTTTTTTTTGTTTTTGGTTATTTTTCTTTTTTGTTTTCATTCTCTTGCCCTACGCTTTAGTTGATTATTTGTTTTGATGTTTTCGCTTTTATTTTTCATGAGCTAATGTTATTATTTGATATCACACACACACATACATACACACACAACATATACATATAATTAAACTATCGTAAAAACTTTGGAGGGCAGGTGAAATACAAAATTCAATGAAATACGAGACGAGTTTATATTTCAGTGTCATTTTTCCATTTCTAATTGAAAAGAAGCTTAATCAAAACTTGTTGACTTCTTTGTTTGTTCTTTTTGTTTGCAAAAGTTGTAGCTTTGCAGAGATAAACAATACGAGTGCTCGATTAGGAGATACCCTGCTATATTTCAGAGAATTGAACTTGGCGAGTCGGCTTTTAATGATGACCAAGAATATGTTATTTTCTCTTTCTCTTATTCGATCAGTCGCATTTGTTTTTCTCCCTCTAAAAGTTAACGTGTAATTTTTATTTTCATTCTTTCTTTGTTGCGTTTAGTTTGTTATTAGTTTTTATTTGCTGTATTCGCGCTTATTGCGACTTATAAATTATTGTTTGTATTTCTCCGCTTGCTGTTATTGTCGTCATCAGCGTCGCTGGAATATTTGTTTCCCTTTTTATTTATTTATGCTTTGTGTTTTTCGCGTTTTTGTCTGTTCTGTTCTTATTGTTGGCTTTTATCGGGATAATACGTTTAAATAGTTTTTTTTTAGGGTTCTTTTCTCTTCTATCAAAATAAACTCCATAAGAGAAACCGCAAATTGTGCTAGTTTTGTGTATTTTATTTTCTTTTCTAGGTGCTGCCCATGATGTTTACCATTCCAAATAACGCTTTAATATCCATTAGTCATATTCATTTCGCCTTGCGTGTGCACTAATAAAAAAAAGCGATTTAGTTTTGATGGCAACTTGCGGATTTTCCCGACAATCATTCTCATAATTTGTTTTTTTTTTTCTTTTTGACATCGGATCATTCATTTTATTACTCCAACTAAACGGATGGATTACTATTAATATGATTAAGTTTATAAATTAGATATAATCAATTTAAAAAAAACCCTTTAATGGAAAATGGCTGGAAATTAATTTTGCACTTTAGCCAATACTTCCCTCCAGTATTGGAAGCCCGCAATCTCTGCCTCTCTTTTATTAAGAATTGAGAACTGCTTTCCAGTTCTAGAAAGTTGAATAATCTGTTCTTTTCATCAGAATGACATACTTTTGTACTCACCTTTTTTTTTGCATTCACTTACAGCTCTCAGTATTTTTTGTTGTTTTTTTTGTTTGTCTTTTTCAATTCTGAAGTTTCCTGTTGCTATTATTGTTGCAGAACTTTCACCCATAAATCTTTGTGCAACAAATTGCCAAGAGATCACAATTTGTGATCACACATTGTTTGTTACTGCTGCTGCTTCTGCTGCTACTACTACTGCTACTACTGGCCTCTGCCCTATTATTCAGGCTTGCTTAGTGAGTGGGTGAAAGGAGTTAGACGGCAATCCAGCAAACTTGCAGTTAGTTATTGTTGAAATTTCACTCAAGTCGGTATCTATCTCTCTTCCTCCTACTCACTCATACACACACAAGCAGAGACAGGTATAACTGGTGCTTGCAGCTGCACTCTTTTTTCTCTTAAAACCAGAATCTTACAGTTTGCAGTTGTTGCTTTTACTTCTTCCTCGTTTTCTTCTTCGTCGTATCTCACCTCGCTCCTTTATATCTCTACCCCACCTGCTCTTGGCCTTTGAGCCCAAAGTTTATATCAAAGACATTCCACCTACGCACGCACACAAACAAACTTTGTGGAGAGATAGAGAGATAGAGAGCACGTGAGAGAGTAGAGCAGAGCGCCTCAAGGCAGAAAAGCTCATATGACAATCAAAGGTGCTGCGCAGTTGTCTCTGTATGTGTGTGTGTGTTTTTTTGGGCTGTCAACAATTCGATTTAGTTTTTGTATTTACCCGACGCACTTCCAATGACAAAGTTATTTTTGTTGCTCATACTTATGTACATATTTATGTGCAAGAGAGAGAGAGAGACAAAGAGAGATAGAGAACATGTAAAACAAAAAAGACGAAATGTAAATGTGTAAATATTCATGGAAAACATCACGTAGCTTTAAAGCGCACACGACTGCGAAATTCCACGACAGCCAAATGTTAATTTCGTTGTAAACAAAGAGAGCCAGAAGAGTTAAAGACCGACCCCAATGTACTATATACGTATGTATGTATATGTGTGCATGTATATGTGACATTTAGGCCTAGGCGATGCGTTAATTGCCAACAAATTAATGCAACGAGTGAAATATAAAAGCACCAAGCGTGATCGATTCCACTGGAAGTGGAAGGTGTGGAATGCGCTATTAGCAATCGATAAATGCAATAAAAAAAATAGAAAAAAAACATCGTTCGCTTCATTACTACAACTGTGCTGCGAACCTTGTGGCTAAAAGAGAAACATCGACAGTTAATTTTGAGCTGAGCTCAAGCTAAGGTTAAGGGAAGGCCGAGTGCGAAAGGTAACTGCATAAAACATGCATACAAACACGCATTTAAACATATGTACATACCATATATGTATACATCTCGTATAACTCTATGCAAATGTTGCTAAACATGTTGTCTGAGATAGAGCAGCTGTCCGTTGGTCTATACTAATGCAAGTGCACGTGTGTGTGTGTGTGTGTAAGGCATTTCAATAAACCAATACAAACAGAACTTTTCAACATAGATTATAAAAAAAAAAAAAATTTAAGTTGTATTATTTTAAATATTTTGTAAACAAAAGTATACCATTTACACAAAAAAAACGTTCTGGGTATATTCAAGTCGAGTAGCACTTTTTATGCTTTTTATCTCAATTGCCTTATGCATTTTGTTTTTGATATTTTGCTGCACTAGCGAAATTCAATTGAGCGATTTGCCCGACAGCCTTTTCTGTCAATTTCACTTTTATTTGGGCCTAGAACAGTCTCGACTATTACATAATTTAATATGTATTATATGTACAATGTATATATATATTGTACAAATAAGATGGATGGGGGGAAAAATGATTCATTTGGATCATTAATATACCACTTAAACAAACAACTGCAATTTATATAAATTTTAAGCTTTTTATTTTTCTTTGTTTTTCTTACAGGTAAGCGAATGTGTCTCTCATTCAACAACTCGGCAAAAATGTATTCTGTGAGTTGAAAGTTTAAATATTAATAAGTCGCTGTATTCATTATTGATAGATGAGGAGGAGGCTGTGTGAATCTAATCGAAGTTACTTGTAGTAATTATTATTAATGGGAGAACTGTTTCGGTTCATGGCTGATAACTTTTCAAATATATGTATATATAAATATATATATATATATTTATGGACAACTGTCACCCTGTTATCCCCTCCGCATAAACTCATTGAATTGATTTCAAAATGTTCGCTGGACCAGTTTTTTTTTTCGTTTGAGAACTCGTTTCTCTGTTTTTCTGTATTTGTATTTTTTTTTGTGCACACTTGCACAATTCATCGCAATTTACCTGTCTGTGTTGCTATGAGCTATGCTTTTTTGGAGCTATTTTTTTTTAATTGAGCTGCGGCCACACCGGCCTCCAACA